CGTATCACGTCCCATAGGTATAAGTTCACGAACAAACATGCGTCGATCACGTCTACTCTGTTTAAGTTTTACTTTAACTTTATCCCGCGACTTTTAAAACTAAAATTGTCATGTTGGAATTCCATTTACTGTTCATTAATATTTTTCATACAACACCCTCACAATCTACTTCCACAAATTTAGATAGTGTTTTTATATAGATCTATTTGTAAAACGGAAAAAAATATAATTTCTGATATTTTAGTTTCTGTATGTTGTTACAAAGAACATACGTCAAGTACTGTTTTTCGTGATAAAGTTTTCCCACTGAAGTAGTCGATGTTGTACTGTTTTGTGAAATAGTCCATGACAAGTTTAAAACGATGGTTAATATCAAAGTCTGCAATGGTTAACGCTATCATTGATAGCTATATGTTCATAATGAATAAAAGAAAAACAATAATATGGCCACTGCTGTGTAGGTATACGTAAGCTAAAAACATAATTACTATAACTTAATAAATTATTATAATTCAATAAATTAAAAATGAAACCCTATTGGTTGAAGTAAATGAATACATTTCTTAACCCTCTCTTGGATTTGTAAGACAGTTCATGTTGTATCATTTAAAGTTTAGCAGTGACGAAAACATGGGGTGGTCTGTGAAAATATGATTGTATTTCAACATTCCGTTTTCCGAATACCGCAGAGAGAATGGATACACGTAATGGTGGCTGCCTCAAATACCAAACTGGGAGGACTCGGCCTGACCGCTAAAACCTGCCCCAACATGGTCCAGTTAATCCACCCCCACGCGCAGCACGCACCCCTAATCCTTTAATCCCTCTCTTCTTTTAAACCATTGTCTAATGGTAGGCGTCTTCCCGCTCGTGGTCAGGTTTGGGAGCCAATCCTTCATAACCCTCGAAAAACCTTCCGCAAGTCTCCGCAAACGATGCGGTAAGGTGGTCATCGCCGGGTAAATAGCCCGTCGACCAAACATTGGACCAACGACCAAACAGTGGTCGGGACCTGAGCGATTAATTCAAGCAGAGTTTTTTCCCCTGCTGTTGTTGTTTGAGCTAAAGTTTGGCGTTTGTCAAAACCGCGGGAAGCATGCGGCGGGGAATCTCGCTCGCACACGTGATTCGGATGTGGGCCCGGATGTTACGCATGCGCGGCGAACCTGCGGTCAGACTTACGGATTTTTGGGACTGCCAGCGATTGACTTTCGGCCGATTGTTGTTTCAGTTGGTCTTTTAAAAACGTCAAACGGATTTTTTGTGAAACTATTGGCGACGCCAGATATTTCTACCCAACCATTAAAAATATTCTAGAGAAAACTACAGGTGAAAAACTGAGGTTCAAGCGTTTGCACACTTGGACCATGAAACTGAAGCAGTGACTTGAAACTTCCTTTACAAAAAAAAAAAAATAATAATAAAATAAAATAAAATCGTTTCATTTTTGTATATTTTTTTCATCAAATAGTATCTTTAATACTGACCTAAAAAAATATAGAAAATCTAACTAAACAAAATATTTTTTGTCTGTCTTGCTACAGGCTTTGCAGCAAGTAGTTAAATAATTTAATACTTTACTATTTCGTAAATCATAATAGAATTCAATACAAGAGTTAATTGGACGGAGTGGTCGGATGAAAGAGCGCACGACTGCTAACCCGAAAGTCTCGAGTTCAACAGGACGTCCCTGGGTTGACCTATCACTAATGAGTACCTGGTTCAAGTTAGGGTAAAATAATTGTGGGCATAGTGTTAAACACACTACTTCTTTATATGCATAGGTGATTGAAATAGATAAACTCTACTTCATCTGCCTTATATGTAATGGGTACCGACCGGAAAATATTATTATCAGTTGCTGCTAAGTTAAATATTACGCTTTCTGTAGTTTATGAAAATTGAATTACTAGAAGTTAGAATTTAAGTAGAAAAAAAAACAAACATTACAAAATGTTTATGTTGACTTACTGTTGAAATTTGCTTTGGGCAGGCCTAATGTATAAACAATAAAAATGTTTGGTCTGTTTCTAGTCAAGAAATAGACAACGACATAAATTTATGTGAAAATCCTTACCCCCCCCCCCCCCAGCTCATATCCCCCTCCCCCACCCAACCGACGCCGCCATCACCTTTTAACATTCTATATCTAAACAGCTTATTAGGTGCACAGCAGGGGATGTTTCAGTCCCGCCGGAAATCGTTTCAGTTTCTTCAATTACCCAAGGGAATTAACCATGATTTGATTCAGTTACAAACATACAATCACCTTGTTAGCGTGGCGCTGAATTTACCTCCCTTGTTTGGTAACAATTTCTACATTTCTATCAGCAGGGAGACGACTCACGAGGTCTTTATTCATTGACAATTAGGCTACTTACCGGATTTAAACAATGACCGCTGGTTGCGTCGTGGATGAAAATGTTTTAGTGATTAAAGAAGGAAGATGAAAGAGTTTTTCAATACCATTTAAACATTGAAGGCATCTTTCCCACGATGCGGTTTAATTTATTTGATCGTGATATTGAAACTTGTGAGGCATGGCTTAAGATCATTTAAAATAAATTTTGAAGGAAAACATGTATAGGTTCTGTTTTGATGTTGTAGCTGGTTTATTCATTAAGGTCTGATTTAAAAAAAAAAACCTGAATAGATTAAATTCAGTAAACCATGAAACACTATGACTTTAGGGAAAAATGTCATGTATCAATTTATAAATGGACTTGAAGGGTGGAAAAATAACCAAATGCAAGAGCAGCCAATATAGCAGAGGAGAGAGCTTGCTATCAAATGTTATTTCAGTTTGTCTAAATCAAATCACTTACTCCCTCTTCCATTTAAACACACACACACACACACAAAACACACACACACACACACATATATATATATATATATATATATATATATATATATATATATATATATATATATATATATATATATATGAGACCGTTTTTGTTTTACTATTCAGAAGTTAAAATAGTTTTTCTTTTTTTTCTATTACGCTTAGAATAACTTTCAACAAACCTACAAATAAACTTTAGAAACATACAAACTTTAGAAACATACAAACTTTAGAAAAATACAAACATATTTTAGAAACATACAAACAAACTAAGCCTTCCGGCGGTTGTCGTAAATTGTCGCCACATTACAGCCCACCTGCCTCGCTTATGGCAGTTCAAGAATAGCATTAAGTCAACACTTTGTATCCGGCCTGAGACAAAAAAGCAACAAAAATTATTTTCAAATGAAGGAGCGAATAAAGTCTCCTAAGCGATGTTTGGTGTTGTGTGTATGGGGGGACGGGGAGGGGGAGGGGGAGCTACAGCCCATGACAGACATGTTTGTTAACTGGCGGTCGCAAATACGGAAAAATCCAAATCTTTGTTGTTGCAGCGGCCAAAGAAGCGGGGATTTGGCAACGTTTCCTTCCATTATCTGGCCAATTATTTACACAGGGATAAGGATGTGTACAAACTGGTTCGGTGTTTGGGGGAAAATGGCGAACGGGCCGAGGCGAGGCGAGTGTGGTTTGAACGGCTTGAAGACCGAGTGATGATACGGATCACCAGCGGATGATGTGAGGGGGACACGATTAGGGGGAGGATGTGTAGTTAAAAGCAGGATGTGATACGCAGAACAATGGAGCGTGGAAGGTTAATAATGTTGATGAGTAGGGGGGAATGATGAGGCATTGTTTTAGAGGTGTGGAGGCGGGGAGACAGTCATGGTGGTGTTGAAGAGGGGGAGGGCGAGGGACTTTAAATAATTACTTTGTGGTTTGTGGAGTAGATTTTTTTATCATATAAATGTCTTGATATTGCTTCAGAATTAATTTCTATTGTTACTACATGTAACTTTTATATAACTAAATTATTTCCGATAACCGGAAGTGGTACTATTTCCACTTGAACACTTAAACTTGAGTGCCATTTCACTTCGGTTAACTTTTATTTTTAAAATGTACATTAACAAAAATTGTAAAATTTTGACATGAAAATGCGGATCAAAAAATGTTCAAACAAACAACAAAGCGAGAATTTTTCAATTCTTTTTATGATAATGAACTACAAGTAATGTACACTTATAATGCTATTAATAGGCCTATATCAACAAGGTTGGAACTATGACAAACTAAGACGTAAGACGCAATACACGAACCGGTGACTGAATCGATAATTCTACAGTTCAAACGCCTCCCACCTGTTTGTATTAAACCAACGATAGTTTTATAACACCACTACATAAACATTAATACACTCTTTAAGCCCACTTTAACTCCTAGACTTTTTATGGGGTAGAATACAATATCATTTGGGTAACAATGAGTTGTTGTTGTTTTTTTGGGTTAGGAAATTTTTTTTTAATTGCTAATGTATAAAACATTTCTCTAATTCTTTAGATGATTAATATTTTGTCATAAATCAAAATTCTGTTATATTTTTTCTTCGTTTTGGAAGAAATTTTTTTTTTAATTATAGTACCAACAAACACAAGAAATGTTTGAAAGTTTTTGAAAGCTGGTTTTTTTCCCCATGAATAAAAATCCAATCTGTTCGACAATGAATGTAACAATACATTCTATGTAGCCCATAATAACATAGAAATATTACAGCAAAAGGTTGTTTTTTTTGTTGTTTTTTATTATTATTAAGTTTTTTTTCCCGATAACTTATTAAGTTACTTAACACTAATTTGTGATTGATGACTGCTGATAAAAGTAGTCTCCCCTGAGAAAACCTTCAACTCTCGTTTTTAAAATAAAGTGATACCGTTGCATTAAATTGCATATTCAATTATCATAAGACGTTAGTTTTGGGGTTTTTTTAATTACAGTTTTTATACTGCTGGTTTGATTACTTCCGCTCATTATTTTTTCTCTTGCTTCGAAATATATTGGTTGCTTAGATTACCAGTTATTATTACCAATAGCATTAGTTTAATTTAAATAAATAAATCAGTTTTTAAACAATCGTTTTAGATAAATACATTCTTTATTTTATTTTTCAAGTGACTCAAAAAAAATCTGGCATGCCGTTGAAATCTTCAGAACGCTTTTTGCGTGTCAGTTCCCCTTGCGCATGCGCGAAAGTCAGCTGACATTCTCGGCTTTCCGGGTCATCAGCGCATAACAGGTGCATGACGGCGCTATTGGGTTAAAAAAATGATTTGTTTTAAATTAGTTGAAAATTTAGCAAAAAATTATATCTTTAAACATTGTCAAACAGTGAAATAATCGGAAACATTTTAAAAATTAAGGTTGAATGAAATATATAATGTATGACTACATTCACTATTTTTAAAATACAGCTAATACCTGACGTCACCAATAACACAATTATTTGCATAAATTAAAAAAAATTCATAAAAAACGTTTTAATAACAAGCTTTTATGTAATGATGCACTAAAAAGTAGAAAATAAATTATACACTACTATTTAAATTACTATAAAGAAAAGCGTGGGTCACTTTAGTACTTTAGTACCTATTGGATACCTTTACTAATATTTGAGAAGAGACCCACGCTTTTCTTTATAGTAATTTAAATAGTAGTGTATAATTTATTTTCTACTTTTTAGTGCATCATTACATAAAAGCTTGTTATTAAAACGTTTTTTATGAAATTTTTTTTCAGTACTTTACATGTTTTATTTACAATAGTGTTACATGACTAAAAACCATTGCGCGTCTATTGAACGTGATGGCGCGCCTACTGAAGGTGATGGCGCAGCGATTGAACGTGATGACGCGTGTGGTGTGGTTGGATAGACATGCCTATTGATTCGGTCCAAATTTTAATTAATTCATAAAAAATTAATTAGGCATCCAATTAAGTCAAGTTTAGTTTCAGATTGCATTGTCTTCGTGTCTTGACCCACGTGCCAAATGTGAATCGTATCGGTCAAGTAGAAGTTTCCGAATTTTCACTCCTGCGTTTCGATCTAGACTGACGACAGATAGACTGTCGACAGACTGGCGACAGAGGAAGTGAGTTAAATAAAAGCTTGTAAAATATATATTTAAAAAGTAGAGCATAGATCTATATCTAATTAAGGTGGATTGCTCAGTAATCAATAATTGAGGTTTTTAATTAATTAAAAGATACCCACATTGGATCGTCGGTGCACGTGTATTTGAGACCAGCCTTGGTGACGTCATTCTTGAGATCTACCAACGAACCAGTGCCACAGAACTCGCTGGAATTAAAATTACATCTGGTCAAATCTTGTTGCAGCAGATTTCTAATGAATGGGTTTGTTGCATACTTTGCAGATCAGTTTATATCCGACATAATCGATAGAGTATCTCATTTTTAGTCTAATTAGATATTGAATTAAGTCATTAAAAACAGAAATTTATAAAGTTTGGCGGTAGCGATTACTCGATCAATCAGGCACGCTGGTCTATCAGTTTTGTTAACAAGTGCTAGATAGCACTCTCGGGAAGTGATTGGTATAAAAATAAACACAGCGAATACTCAATGTCACCAATTAAAAAAAAATTAAATGCACCGATCTAAAATATAAGTCCAGTAGTGGAACTATTTAATTAAAGTGGATTGCTCAAGTATTCGGGTTTTTAGTTAATTAAAAGATACATTGAATTGTTACTAAATCTAGTAAAAAGCTTAAAACTTTTTTAAAATATTAAAATTTTTAAAATAACAAGTTTAAATGCGCTAAAACAATATAATACAGAGAAATTTAAATAAGAAATGTACACTAGTATAAACAAAAGTATGTAACGTAAAATAAATTGAAATAATTTATATAACGACCAACTGTTTTAATTTTTATTATAAAAACTTAAGCATATGTATATTTATTTTCTTATTTTTAGTGCAAACTTAAAAATTGTTTAAATGCTTTAATTGTCCACGAACAGGACCCCCCCCCCCCCCAAAAAAAAAAGTCTACCGCCCCCCAGAACGAAATGAAATGTATATAGAAAATATATACTTTTAACAGTGTCCGCCCCCCCCCCCCTCCCAAAGAAAGTCTACCCCCCCCCCTGAAAATTCCAAGTGCCCCCCCCCCCCCCCCCCACGAATGTGCTTAGACAAAGCAAATAAAACTCCTCACACTTTGGGCGCGTTCAGAGCGTGGGTCACAATGACCTTGACTGACGTCACCAGCTTGGGGTTGAGACTGGGCAGCTCGTACTTGGCAAAAAAACTGACCGGTCCAAGGTGTTGGTAAAATGGGAAAAAAAATTATACAACAAATTGTCATACATAAAGCAAGTGTATGTTATAGCTAAAGTAACAACTGTAACTAATTGTGATGGTCGTAACATCACCTGTTCCTCCTGTATGCTGGCTGTTTGGGGTTCGAACCATCAAGCATCAGCGTCACAACGCCCTTCGCTTCTGAGGCAAACTGCATTGGAAAATACAGAGTACACAGACAATGTTTAGATTAGGGTTAGTTTTTATATTATGAGCGCCTGAGTTTACGGTAAAATATCAAACGTTTCGCGGAATTCTATGAAAAATGATGTGACATGATTAAGTAAAAGTTGCTTAGCTATAATAAACATGTTGCGAAAATTATTTAATGAAATTTTCTCTAAAGCAAGGATAAGAAAACCTTTTTTTTTTAGTTTATAACGGTTGAACCCACCTCACCGGTTATGTTATAGTGTCTGTATTATCAAGTTAGTTGAATGTGAGTTTTTTTTTTTTATGTTGAATTTCTAACAGTAAAAATCGAATGGAAAAGAGTATAAACAAATCTATATATTTTTGATGTTCTGCTATGATTTTTATCCCAAAATTTTGTAACACCGCGTTTTCATTTGGCACATGAATACTAAACATGTCTAGAAAAAAAAATTGAAATAAGTGAGTAGTACCCCCCCCCCCCCATACCCATATAAATTCTGCTGAAATTAACTTATGGCGAATTGTGTTTTTCCCTAGACGTATCTATATAGATCTATATAATTCTCTTCTGGGAGACGTTAGAAAACAAGCTGCAAAGCGCGCTTTGCAGTCCCCTCTCTTCCTCTCTATCGCTACCACCCCCACCCCCACCCCCACTCACCCCCTCCCCCTCACATGGTCAGGTGAGCTGTGGTTCACGCTAAAAATGTTTACAAATCGTAGAGCCGGGTTTGGTGACGGCTATTAGTGGCAGATAATATAGTTTGAAACGATTTTAATCTTAGAGGAGGTAACTAACTGCTTTCACGGGGGGGGGGGGTGTTAGTGTTTTAAAGCAAATATTTTCAGTGGCAGCATTGGTACTGTCGAATTCACAAATTATGAATTACTGAAAAGTAGAAAAAACAACTAAATAGCGGCGTATGATACACCGCGGGTCGGCTCGTATAGTATACATGTCGCAAGTGTAAACGCGGTGTAACAAGACCAGTGTTTCTTCCAGACTTTTTTTCCGGGGGGGGGGGCACTTGAGATTTTCGGGGGGGGGGGGCGGTCAACATTTTTCAGGGGGGGGGGGGCGGACACTAGTAAAAGTGTATGTTTACTATATAAATTCCATCTCGTTCGGGGGGAGGGGGGCGGTACTTTCTTCGTGGGGGGGTGCGGCTCTGCCCCCCCCCCCCCCCCCAAGAGATGCCTGGAAGAAACTCTGAACAAGACAACAAAGGAAATTTTATCATAAACATTTGGGGCCTGACAAACACTGGTCATCTAGAATCTAGGGGAGAGTTGTACCGTTTTTGAAGCCCCTGCCCAAAAGCTCTCACTGGCCTCGGTCGGGCAGTCTGTCCAGCTTGGGCAGCGCGTGAAATTCAGGCCAGGTTGTTTCTGCGTGCCGCACCAGGTCAGCGAGTTGGCCAGGTACCCGATGAGAGTGTCTTCTAAAGTGACGTACCGTTTACCGTTGTTGGCGAACCGATGTGCCAGATTGTACACCCCAGACCAAAACATGACCTGTTGATAGAAAGGTCAAAACATGACCTGTTGATATAAAGATCAAAACATGACCTGTTGATATAAAGGTCAAAACATGACCTGTTGTTAAACACGTCAAAACATGGCCTGTTGATATAAAGGTCAAAACATGACCGTTTGATACACTCGTCAACCCATGAGCTGTTGATACATTTCGAAACATGTTGATACAGCTTGCCCTAAGATGATCCGTTGATATATATATATATATGTAACGAGACTATTTGCCTGTAGTGCCAAATGTTAATGAGTCTAATGGAATCTTCTGCTCGACAACGCCAAATGTTACCGAGTCTAACCACTCATTCTACACAACATCGACCACAGTATAGATACTCGAAGATGCAGGTTCGCTATTGATCCTTTTATTACATGAATCTAAGAAATGCTTCACAATAATATAATAAATCAAAAGGAATGCTTCACAATAATAGTTTGAATCAACTGACTCCCAACAGTCCTCACTAGTCTTCACATAACTGAATGCACATGTCTATCGTCCTTCTTAACACAATACGGCTAACCCGTTCAATAACCAACTTGATACTGCCTCACTGACTGACTGATCGAGAGAGAGAGAGAGATCTCAGCCGTCCTTCCTATATATCCCCTTCGTATTCGTACTCGTATTCGGTTCTATCATAGTTATGTTCAATTCGAATATCTCGCCTTCCGATTACTATGCAGTTGTCTCATCAGTCCGATTAATATAACATCTGCATCCTGTCACATCAAAGTTGACAGACCGTATTGCGTTCTTATCGTATCGCTTCCCACAATACTACGCCTTGGCTTTCTGATCGTTATCAGCCAACACCTGCGTTATTACGTCAGTCGTGTCAAAGTTGACAGCGCTGTACTGCGTTCTTATCTCTCTGGTAACTTCCCCTAGTTACATATATATATATATATATATATATATATATATATATATATATATATATATATATATTTTAAAGAGCTACAAACTTGTCTTTTGGTAAGTAAAGCATGCAGCGAGTACTTCTAAAAACTACAACCATGTCAAGTACTTCTAAAAACTACAACCATATCTAATACTTCTAAAAACTACAACCTTGTCGAGAAATTCTAAAAACTACAACCATGTCTAATACTTCTAAAAACTACAATCATGTCGAGTACTTCTAAAAACTACAACCACGTCTAATACTTCTAAAAACTACAACCTTGTCGAGTACTTCTAAAAACTACAATCATGTCGAGTACTTCTAAAAACTACAACCACGTCTAATACTTCTAAAAACTACAACCATGTCGAGTACTTCTAAAAACTACAACCACGTCTAATACTTCTAAAAACTACAACCTTGTCGAGTACTTCTAAAAAATACAACCATGTCGAGTACTTCTAAAAACTACAACCATGTCTAATACTTCTAAAAACTACAACCATGTCTAATACTTCTAAAAACTACAACCATGTCTAATACTTCTAAAAACTACAACCATGTATAATACTTCTAAAAACTACAACTATGTATAATACTTCTAAAAACTACAACCATGTCTAATACTTCTAAAAACTACAACCATGTATAATACTTCTAAAAATTACAACCATGTCTAATACTTCTAAAACTACAACCATGTATAATACTTCTAAAAACTACAACCATGTCTAATACTTCTAAAAACTACAACATTGTCCAATACTTTTAAAAACTACAACCATGTCAAGTACTTTTAAAAACTACAACCTTGTCTAGTACTTCTAAAAACTAAAACAATGTCGAGTACTTCTAAAAACTACAACCTTGTCGAGTTCTTCTAAAAACTACAACCTTGTCTGTCGGTAAGATTTGTTTCGCCGCCTCCCAGTACGCCGAATAGGACTCAAACTTGACGTCACATGGGTGCTTGTAAGCAAACGCATCTAGGAACTTCAACCACAGATCACCGCAGCTTGCTTTTACTCTAGAACAAATTCAAACAACCTATGTAATGCTAGCTTCAATATAAATATACGAGAAATAGATCTTTAAAGAGGCCTAAGATGAAACATAACAGAAATATTAAATAATATGTTTTTTATATTGTCACGTCATGCATCAATTCATAGATTTCAGGTTCTTTAATCGGGTAGGTCACATTATCTCCTTGTATGTCGAGGTCATTGAAACATATGGAACTACATAATCTGCCCCATGTGTCTTGGACCTTGGGCACTAACGGGAAAAGATGATGATGATTTGGGTATGTGTATGATGTCCAAGAGACTGAAAGCAAGAGTTGTGGAGTTGACAGCCTATGCCCTATTTGTATCGGCTCTCTCGTTAGACCAAACATCTCCTATACATAGGTAGGATGTTGTATTGAAAATATAAGTGTCGAGACTGGTCGCTTAAAGAAGCATTGTGAGAGACTATTGTAATTGTTAAGTCCTTCACAGAAACCTTCCCTGATTGTGTGTGTGTGCGTGCTTGTAGGTGTGTGTATGTGTGTGTGTGTGCGCGCGTGCGTGTGGTTGTGTGTGCCTGGTGTGTAATGTACCCGCTTTTTCACATAGTTGTATCCCTTGTTTGTGTGTAGTGTTTTGGGACGGATGCTGCTTTTCTTGTCGGATGGATCTCACCCAAAAAGAACAGCTTTGCTACAACGAATTTGGACATTTTATTAAGATCACGAAAGGCCATAAGATAATACAGATTTGTAAGGGGAGAAAATAAAGAATACAGGGGAAGGCATCGGTCAAGTAGGGAGGTCATGCAAGAAAATAGAGAATCATTTGAGTGAAACTGATCATATTGGAACCAGGGTAAACATCTGTGTCTGGAAGACCTAAGCCGTGAAGCGACTTACTCCGGAAGGAGACCGTTGTACAGCGTCTCCTTGTAGTCGTAGCAACGTCCCTCGAACACGTCCTTGATGTTGAGGGTCGTCCCGGACTGGCCAGTGACGTAATGGAGCAGGACGGACACACAAACGATGTGGGACCACATTCTTGTCGTCTGCTGGTGGCAGCACAGGTTGCACGTCTGTTTTTAGACAATTGGTGACAGGTATCGTTGGCACATTACTCACACCCATCATTCACACACAATCACTCAACTTTCACACCCACAATCACTCATCTTTCACACACACACACACACACCCACACACACACACACACACACACACACACACCGATACTCACTTATCTTTCACACATACAATTACTCATATGTCACACATTCATTAATAAATATATTTGGCGCATTACTCACACACACACACACATACACTAATCTTTCACACTCCCACTCACTCATCTTTCACACATTCTTTAACAAACATCTTTAGCGCATGTACTCCTACATATCTCTCACCCAGCCACTTATACGTATTTATATATAGATAAAAGAGGGGGGGGGGTATCGTCCTTAACGAGCTACTGATGGTGTTTTAAAGCAAATATATTAAGTGGCAGCATTGGTACTGTCGAATTAACAAATTATGAATTACTGAAAAGTAGAAAATAAAATAACTAAATAGCGGCGTATGATACGCCGCTAGTCGGCTCGTTTTACATATTACAGATATTCACACATACAAGACTTAATTGATTCACCAGTCACGGACGACCGCGGTTAATTTTTTTTAATGCACATCTGTGCATCTTGCATGCTGTCGCTCACTCGTAATGCTATAATCCTACATATTTGATCGTCTGTGACTTAGAGAATTAGAACCAGTCAGCGGTGTCCTAACTAGCAGGTCAAGTCCTCCATTCATGTGAAACTTGCCAAACCCTAACAGTCACATCTATATCTAAGTAAAAAAAGTTTTGTGATTATATTTCCCCACAACTAAACTTGTATTGTTTATTTGACTCCCCACACTAATGATGATCTACAGATTATTGTGTCTGATAAATGAGAATGTCGCCAACAACGATGTGGACTTAAACCAGGGGTCTCCAAACTACGGCCCGCGGGCCGAATGCGGCCTGCGAGGTCCTCTCATCCGGCCCGCGGAGATCTTTTTGTCCACGGAAAAAAAAAAACGTTTGTTGGTGATGGCTGAGGAACTTTGCCCAGAAAAATCAAAGACATGCCTGGAAGAAACTGGCCCTCGAACTGAAATTTTATACTTAAAGCGGCCCTCGGACTGAAAAGTTTGGAGACTTAAACTAAAAACTAAATACCCTGTGCAACCGGTGACGGGGTGGGGGGAGAGGAGCTCGATCATCATTCAGACAATTCTTTTTTTTTTTTCTTTTCACAATGCTGGTAGGCTAAGACGGTTTGTTTTAATTTGTTAAAATATTAACATGTGTTAAATTATTTAATTTTTTATATCAATCTAAATTTACAACTCAGACATCATTTTAATCAAAACAAATACAAATCTATTTCTTAAAATAAGTACAATGTTAGTTGTTGTTTTTTTCTTTTAAATAACATTTTTTTTTAATTTAAAAAAATCGCATTACATTTATTTTTAAAGCAAAAAAAAAAAACGTCCGTCTGTGAAAAATAAAAAAAAAACCAATAAACTGTTTAGGCATCAGAAAAAAAAGGAAAAATTTATTAACTAATAAACATTGTATGTTGTTTTTAACTGCAATAATAATAATATTTTTATAATAAAAAAAAAACTTTTTTATTTTGTAAAATGCAGCAAAAAAAACTCACCTCTCAATGGGCAAAGACCGTTATTTGTGTAACAGCTATGCACCTACTGTTACAGATAATTAACTCACTTTAAAAGAGAGACTGGCGCAATATCATAATGAGCGGAACAGCCGGCTTATTATACTCACGGTACAATAGATGGTGACCACCGGTATTTTTGGAGTTCTTTGTGCCCCATTAAATTATAAAAGTAAATATATTTTTAGAATGTTTTTTGTTTATACTGTGTGTGTGTGTTCATGTGTGTGTGTTTGTGTGTATCTGAGTGTATTCTTTGGGGGATTAAATGGCAGACTGACTAGGCAGTATTTTACGCCCCCCCCCCCCTCTGACTGTTGAAAGCCCCTAACTTTCTCTAGCTATTGAAATTTACGTTCCTAGCCTACCTGAAGTACAAATCTATTTTATAAAAAGTAGTGACGTTTCCCTTCGGAACATGGCGGCACACAGGGCAGGTGAAGTAGAGTTAACCTGTTTCTACGCCCGTGTCGTTTGAAAAGGATCGTGTACTCTAACGGAATCGAGCCCGGCGCAACAAATATGCTTTGCGCAGAAATATGCGCAGCTCGGCTAACAAAAAATGTACACAAAGTCAACAATCATGCGGTGTGGGTCCTACCCAATTGTATGTTAGTCAGATGTTTATGAACACCGGCCAACGAATCAGATCGCAGTCTAAATCTGGTGCCTGAAAAGTTTGAAGTTTATCCCTGATTTAGCTCCATCGATAATTTAACGGCCACGAGCAGCTCTCTGTAAGCTCCATAAGCTCATTAGCTTGTAGTAAACAGCTCTTGTATTGAGGATGATTGCCGAATCTCCAGCAGAGTTTATTTCCAGGCATCTCTTCGGTGGGGGGGGGGGGGGCCTCTGCCGACCGAAGAAAGTCTACCGTCGTCCATCCCCCCCCCTCCCCGAACGAAATGAAATTTATATAAAAAATATATACTTTCAACAGTGTCCGCCCCCCCCCCGAACAAAGTCTACCGCCCCCCCCCCCCGAAAATTTCAAGTCCGTCCCCCCCCCCCCCCCCGGAGAAAAAAGTCTGGAAGAAACACTGATCTCCAGCACTGCTGGTCGATGATGCAACGTTATAATGGATTTCCCTAAAGATGACTGGCCAAATGCTGACCAGCTTAAGACAATCGTGGCTTATCTTCATTTACTTTCGTGCTTTCCAAACCTTGTTATCGCCCCTTGCTATTAGAAGAAAACTTTCCCCTTTTTTACTCCCTCGTATACGAAGTATAGAGGAAGTATTGTAATCGTCCAAAAAATCGAAATGGAGATTTTCAAAAAATCTCGATGTTTTAGACCTCCCTGAGTAGTAAAAAATTAATTTTGCAATCTTGTCTGTATGTCTGTATGTATGTGTGTGTCTGTGTCTCTGTGTGTCTGTATGTGTCTGTGTGTCTGTGAACACAATAACTTGAATACCGTTACAGCTAGGTTGATGAAATTTCATATATGCAGATTAAATTAAATTTGTAGTTCTGTAACAACTTTTCAACGATTTCTGGTAAACGGAAACGAAACTTATTCTACTTTCAAAAGCCTATAACTTGAGTACTGTTTGGTTTTTGGTAGATAGACGAAATTTCAAATATGAGTAAAAGATCTATTTCCCTGTTTTCTGTCAAATTTTGAGTTATTTCCTGTGATTGGAAGTAGTACTTTACACTATTTCCGATTTCTCAATATTGATAAAGTAGGCTACTTATGTTCCGCACTATTATACACGCATTGTTTTCTGTTCACTTGGCGAGCAATTCTTTTACCCACGAGATTCTGTTCTATTTTTTAAAATTTAATTATGTAAAAAAAAAAGATTAAAAACCATGTCTAAATCCCGAGTTGCCATCCCACGTAGTGTTATATAAGAATATTCGAAAAAGTTTAGGGTAGATCACTCCCGCTTTACTTATGTAAAGATTTTTTTTAAAAACTTGTTTGTCAGAGTAACGGAACTTAACATCATATTTTTGAGCTCGTCTCTGCTTTCATCATTTTGATTTTAAATACATAAAAATAATAGTGTTGCTTTTTTTTTGTAAATTTATCTCTTTGTCTGGTAATCAAAAGAGCCTTTTCTATACCTAAAACCAACACTTTTTTTAAGACACAAAATTTCATTTTGCTAACTAAACTAAATTTACTTCCAGCGTGTCCGTTGCATTATGAACAATAGATCGAGCTATTGAACTTTGTAGAATTAATGTAGGAACAAGTTTTGAAACATGCAATGTCATGAGTTTAGAAAACCTGACCTAGAAAGGCAGCGATATTTTAAAGATAAGAGTCATTACCTAGCCGTTAGCTGGGCTGTAATTATCTCGGGTTGGGCCACGTTAATTATGAAAAAATTGGATCAGAACTGAACTTTTGCCATTTTCTGACCTATGTTCGAAATAGTTTGCAGTCTCTGCTAAATAGGGGGTGTAGGTGGTAATACGAGAGATGGTCTAAATGTATGAGATTTGGCGTATATCAGAGGCGTAGCGACCCTTCCCGGCGCCCGGGGACAAACTTTTCGATTTGCACCCCCCCCCCTCAAACTTTCTATTTGCACCCCCCCCCCCTTTGAGATTTCCATGTGCACCCCCCCCCCCCTCAAACGTTTGATTTGCACCCTCCTCAACCTTTCAATTTATTTTTCCTACCCATTTTGGCACCCCCTAAGGTCGGCGCCCGGGGATATATGTCCCCCCCCCCGCCCCCCCCCCCCCCTCGCTACGCTACTGGTGTATATGCTCACACAAGAGATGGTCTAAAATACGAGATCTGGTGTGTGTGCTCACACAAGAAATAGGCTCAATATATGCGAGATATGGTCCTTGTGGGCACACGAGAAATGGGCTATATATAGACTGGAAATTTCCCATTTTCTGTTAAATTATCCAAGCGCCGAAAAAATATTTGCTATTGAGTGCATCAACATCAACAAAATAGCGTTGAGCAAGTTGATCTTTCTACGACACAGCTTGTCTTTGTCATCATCAATTCTGTTGAGCCCTTTTGGAACATGGGGACGCAACCATATCTCTCAATCGTACTCGGTTCTAGGCGATTCTTTCAAGCTGGGCATATGACATTCACAGAGGCGTCGTTAGGGGAGTCCGGGTGGGGCGGCCGCCCCGGGTGCCGAACATAGTGGACGCCAAACGTGGTAGAAAAAAAAACATTAAACGCTGATTATGAGCTGTATTACAAAGTCGAAGTTGAAAAAATAGACTGTACTTGGCTTTACTGCCATATTTACTTGTTAAATTCGAAGTGAGTAATAAGAAAAGTAACAGGCGGACTCATAAACTAGCAACAGCTGTAAGTCAAAGGGGGAGTCGGGTGAAAGTCGGATGCATTAACCCGATTATTATTATTAAACAAAATTAAAAATCACACTAAATCCGCTCATTAAAACAAAACGAACATTGTACATAATTTATTCTAATGAGCTACAGTATCAATTAATTCATTAACTATGTTTGACGGTCGTTACTTCCCACCTGCCCCCCCCCCCCCTTTCCTTTCTTATATTTCATGCTGTTGACTAACATACGATTAGGTCACAAACTATAATGGTCTACTTGTACAAGGTTAGTGTTAGCATCGGGAAACCTGAGACTCCCATGGTATGAATTTTAATTACAAAAAAATAAAGGCGAGAGCATTATCAATACCTGTTTAATAGGTACGTAGGGATGCAATAGGCTATTGATTACATATTAGAATAATTGAATTGCACTAAGTAAATTAATTTCCAGACCAGCTGTTTTTTAAACTAGTGCTAAGTGAGGCCGGGGGGGGGGGAGGGGGGAGGTGAGCGCGCACTAGTGCTAGGGGGTGTGTAGTCTAGTGCTAGGGGAGGTAAGGTCTAGTGCTAGGGGAGGTTAGGACTAGGGTGGGGGGGGGGGGCGGCCAGGAGGTTGATCAGTGCAAACTAGTGCCAGAAGAGGTGCGGACTAGTGCTATAGGAGGGAAGGACTAGAGCTAGTTATGCAAAAATTGTTGGTAGAGTTATTCATAACGTGTATAGTTATACAAATAAGTATAGACATATGGGAATATATATATATATATATATATATATATATATATATATATATATATATATATATATATATATATATATATATATATATATATATATATATATGCACTTATATATATATATATATATATATATATATATATATATATATATATATATATATATATATATATATATATATATATATATACCACACATGGGGCAGATATGTGTTTAGACCTATGCCAAGTCGCGTATGTTTCCCCAACTTGAGTAAGGTACCCATCAGAGCTGGTTGGACTCAGAGACGTCCAACAATTACGATTCCGAATCTTGACCTTTGGGCTAGCAGTCAAACGCTCTACCATTCGACAACACCGTCCCTGTGTTGTTGTTTTTTAGTGAGGCGCTTGAACAAAAGTTGGTTAAACGCTGTTTCATATTTTTTTTTTCACTAAATAGAAGTAATGAGCCCATTGTCGCTAGGGGGGAGTAATGAGCTATTTTTTTCCCTAAGGGGAAGTAATAAGTCGCAAAGTACGTAATCGAAATGGCAGGGCTTGGCCAATAGCTGCATAAAAGCAAGCTCAGCGCAAGCACGAGTTTTCACATAGAGGGTCATGGGTCGATGTGTCAACAACTCGTGTTGGGAGACATGTCAGTAGTATGTAGGTTTTGATGTTTGTGCGTAGGGTTTATGTGCTTGTGTGTAGGTTTTGTGTGTTTGTGTGTAGTCTGTTTGTAGACGAAATAGAGGTGGCGTTAATGGCGTCACACTTAGAATTTGACCGAAACACAATTTTCTTTGTTAAATTCTATATGGCTATTACAGTGGCTAAATGTAAATACCGTTATTTTTTTTATTTTTTTGTACAACAAAAAATGTAAATACCCTTTAAATAGGCGTCTAGTTTAAAATTAAAATTAAAGTTTATAAGCATGGTTATAAATTCGGAAATAGTATTTGTATATATAATAATACAAGAAAGTGGGGGTGTTATGAGTGAAGTAAACTGTTAAATTAAAACTTTTTTATACAAAAATGTAATAATTTTAAGAGTAATTTTATAAACTATGTTTTTGTTTATATTAAAGTTTTCTAATAAAAACACTAGCTTTTTATTTATTATTCCACATGCGCTTTATATTCATTTGGCGATTTCAACTATTTAATTCTAAGTTTGTTCCCCTGATTTTTATTTTTATACTTTTTAACAAGGGACATAATTATTAATATTTGCAAGAAATATTCAGTAGTATAGTGTTCACCAGCAATTATTTCAAATGATGTCTCTAAATTTAAACCAAAATGCTGTTTAGTACGAACGTTGGAAGGTAAAGTTAACTCGTTGGCGGGAGGTGGGTGAGGGGGGGAGTGTGTCTTTTGACTGGTAGGTATATTTTTAAACACATTTTTCAGCTATTCGGGTTTTCAAATACACACGAAGCAACCTAATATTACAATGGAGAAATGGAGTTTAAATTATGAATGACATTAGTTTATAAGCCTAACCCTAACTAAACCGAACGCTACTGTATATTGATCTAAAAACCATCGGACATAGGGCACATATACATTTTGCTGCCCTAGTGGTAATTAACTCAATACAAATGGTAATTAACTTAAAACAAATATGGTAATTAACTCAATACAAATGGTAATTAACTCAATTCAACAGTTTAGTCTACTAAGCTGGCGTTAATTTAAATTTAATTTGGCACACGAAGTAGACGCTTCATTACAATCAGCTTTCAACATTTAGCGACACACTGAAGTACTTAGCACAGTAACAAAAATTGAGTATTAAACGATTGCGTATGTTGTGACCTTTCCCCTCCACCCCAAGGCCTCTCTAAACACTAGACCTAAGGTGAAGGACTCTCTTGTAGCCTTAAACAAGGTACCATTGAAATACTCTTTCCCTCTCACCACAGTCGTTGTGTTACATAAATTATTTTAAAATCCTGACCTCGCGCTGAAGTTTAAGAAATATCAATAAAATTACCATTTGATTACTTTTGAAGATAGACTCACATTTCACACACAAAAATGGACATTCGAAATTCAGCTTGAGTTTGATTTTAATGCCATATTCTAATTACATTTAGAGATCTATGTGCTAAGTGTAATTTGATGTTTTAGATCATTATTTTACTCTGGTTCATATTTTATGATGTTTTGTTTTAGTTCAGTATTTTACTCTGATTCATATTGAGTGATGTTTTATAAATGTCAACACCTAGTTGGTTTAAATTTCGTGTGCAGTTCATACGATACCTTGATGTCTGGTTATATTTCTGGCTATCTAGGACAGTGTGTCTACTTATTGGGGAATGTCTACTTATTATAGAAGAATGTCTATTTATTAGGAAATGTCTACTTATAGAAGAATGTCTATTTATTAGGGAATGTCTACTTATAGAAGAAGGTCTACTTATTGGGGAATGTCTACTTATAGAAGAATGTCTATTTATTAGGGAATGTCTACTTATAGAAGAAGGTCTATTTATTGGTGAATGTCTGCTTATTAAATAATGTCTGCTTATTGGAGAATGTCTGCATATAGAAGAATGTCTGCTTATATGAGAATTTCTGCTTATAGAAGAGTGCCTTCTTATTGGAGATTGTCTGCTTATTGTAATAGAAAATGTCTGCTTATTGGAGATTGTCTGCTTATTTGAAAATGTCTACTCATTTGAAAATGTTTGGCTGCACTTTGAAGATATGCCTGCTTTTTTTAAAATATCTGTTATTTTGATATATCTGCTATTTGGGATGTCTCCATATTGAAAAAAGTCTGCCTATTGGAATATGTCTGGCAAGTTGTTGAAGCCCGAAGATTCCTGCATGTCCGTCAGCTGACCGTTGATGTGAGACAACACGAGCTGACACTCGCGACTTGTAGGATCGTCAGCACACAGCAGGTGGATGACGGAACTGTGGACAGAATACTATGGTCCATGAGGGAGGTAAAAAAAATATAAGGGAGGGAAGATAATCATCGGTGAGAGATGGGAAATTATGGTCCATCTGGAAGATGAAGTTATTGGTCATATGAAAGTGCGAATTTTTTCCAGTTTTTCTAAATATTTTTGTAATAATTATAATTTTCAAATAAAAAATTAAATTATTTATTAAATTATTAATTCCGTTAAGCTACGAGTTATTTTCCTTGGCTGAAGCTCTCTTTGCAGTCTAGAAATGTTGGAGTTCTACTACTGACTTCGTCATGAACATTATTATTATTGTATTTATAATCACCAGAGTCAACTTTCAGTTTTCAGTATCGTTAAACACAGTGGTTCAAAAATTAATCTGTGAAACTTGACTAAAGAATGAAAATTCCCCAAAGACTGAACCTTTACCAAAGAATGAAACTTAAACAAAGATTTAAATTGTCTCAAATAAAATTTCCAAAAAGACTGAAACTTTACCAAAGACTGAAACTTTACCAAAGACTGAAACTTCTTACCAAAGAAACTTCTCCAAAGGACTGAACCTTTATCAAACATTGAAACTTTACCACAGACTGAACCCCCCCCCCCCCCCGACTGATATTTTACAAAGACTGAAACTCCCCCAAAAGACTGGCACTTACTCGGGGTCATCCACGCAGGTGAAAGTAAAACCAGCCGCCTCCACGTCCTGCTGCAGGTAGATCAAGGATCCAGCGCCACACACCTCTCTGGTGGGGGAGACAGAAAATAATATTCAAGGTATTTTTACACAAGATTCTACTTAAACATGAACGAAAGAACACTTTATCTTATAGTATGTTAGACGAGATAAGCATTTAATCTCATATCATTTAGGAAAAATAGACTGTAATCTACCAAGGAATTGTTTTCTGTTGCAGGATTCTGAATATGATTAAGAGCTCGCAACAATACTAGCACGTCATGTGACTACTGTAGTGGTCCTCACTCACAGAGCACGACCAGGCACCAGGAACTACTCACAATTTTGGTTTGCTTAGATCGTGTGCCACGATAACATTCACAGCTTTGACTAGTGTCTTGTTCAGCCCGGGGAGTTCGTACTTTGCAAAGAAGCTGTAGAAATCAACGTATATATATATATATATATATATATATATATATATATATATATATATATATATATATATATATATATATATATATATATATATATATATATATATATATATATATATATATATATATATATATATATATATATATATATATATATATATATATATATATAATTATAAATGTGTGTATAATCAAATAAACTTTATTCTTATACATGGTATAAAGAAAGTAGAGTTTTTTTTTAACCATACACCTTTTACTGAACAAACGACTTAACACTCTCTTGTAGCTGAGTTGAAATGTAACAGTACACCTTTGGTCACGTGATTACCTTGTGCGTCGGTACGCCGGCTTGTTGGGATTCGAACCGTCAACCATGACTGTAACGTTTCCTCTTGCTTCTGAACCAAACTGAACATTTCGGGAACACGAGAGCATGTTAAACAAAAGTGATAGTAGTAGAGTTTAGGGTTAACAAAAGTGGTATTAAAGTTTAGGGTTAACAAAAGTGATAGTAGTAAAGTTTAGGGTTAACAAAAGTGGTAGTAAAGCAAGGGTTAACAAAAGTGATAGTATTAAAGTTTAGGGTTAACAAAGTGATAGTAGTAACGTTTAGGGTTAACAAAAGTGATAGTAAAGCAAGGGTTAACAAAAGTGATAGTAGTAAAGTTTAGGGTTAACAAAAGTGATTTGGGTCGTTAAATGAGTCCGTATAAAATTTAGCGTCAATGTGAATGCGACATGAGTTAAACGTTAGTTGAAGAGTAGATCCGTATTTCTTATAAGTTTTAGGATGATTGAATAAATGAGTGGGTAGGATTATATCATGGGGGGGGGGGGGGGGGGGGTGGGGGGGGGGGGCTAGTATAGCTAAGACGATTCAGTGCCAGGTCTTGCTCTGGTATCTAATTTTTTTTAAATTAAATTTAGAAAACCACAGTTGAGAACATAAATCACTAGACAAAAACTAAAAGGGGCGGGTAGAAGAATTATAATGGTCACACCGTTCACGCTTAACTCGGCTAACTTTTGACATGTGACTTATAAAAACCACGTGACCGTGTACACAAAAAAGGGATAGAAATATTATTTAATGTCTTTATTTTATGGCATTTTAGTGTATAGTCGTGAAGGTCTGTATATGTTGTTGTTTTTTTATGGCATTTTAAAGTGTGTAATCGTGAAGATCTGTATATGTTTTATTTTTTGAAGCGCTAACTCACAGTTCTAGAGGCTCCGGCCCAAAAACTTTCACTGGCCTCACTAGGGCAGTCCTCCCAGCTGGGGCAGCGTGAGTAGTTCATCCCCGGGGCTATCTCTTGACCACACCAGCTCAGGGAGTTGGCGAGGTACCCGATCAGCGTGTCCTCTAGCGTGACGTAACGAATGCCGTTCTCAGCGAACCTGTGGGACAAGGCGTACACGCCAGACCAGAACAATACCTGGGGAAAGGTGGGTTACCTAGGTCAGACTAGAACAATACAAAGGTGGGTTACCTAGGTCAGACTAGAACAATACAAAGGTGAGTTTCCTGGGTCAGACCAGAACAATACAAAGGTGGGTTACTTGGGTCACCATAACAATACAAAGGTGGGTTACCTGGGTCAGACTAGAACAATACATGGGGGAGGTTGGTTACCTGGGTCAGACCAGAACAATACAAAGGTGGGTTACCTGGGTCAGATCAGAACTGACTTTGTCTGATGGTAAAGTCTGACCTTGTCTGATGGTAAAGTCTGACCACTGACCTTGTCTGATGGCAAAGTCTGACCACTGACCTTGTCTGATGGTAAAGTCTGACCACTGACCTTGTCTGATGGTAAAGTCTGACCACTGACCTTGTCTGATGGTAAAGTTTGACCTTGTCTGATGGTAAAGTCTGACCACTGACCTTGTCTGATGGTAAAGTTTGACCTTGTCTGATGGTAAAGTCTGACCACTGACCCATCTGATGGTAAAGTCTGACCACTGACCTTGTCTGATGGTAAAGTCTGACCACTGACCTTGTCTGATGGTAAAGTTTGACCTTGTCTGATGGTAAAGTCTGACCACTGACCTTGTCTGATGGTAAAGTCTGACCTTGTCTGATGGTAAAGTCTGACCACTGACCTTGTCTGATGGTAAAGTTTGACCTTGACTGATGGTAAAGTCTGACCACTGACTTTGTCTAATGGTAAAGTTTGACCTTGTCTGATGGTAAAGTCTGACCACTGACCTTGTCTGATGGTAAAGTCTGACCACTGAACTTGTCTGATGGTAAAGTCTGACCACTGACCTAGTCTGATGGTAAAGTCTGACCACTGACCTTGTCTGATGGTAAAGTCTGACCACTGACCTTGTCTGATGGTAAAGTCTGACCACTGACCTTGTCTGATGGTAAAGTTTGACCACTGACCTTGTCTGATGGTGAAGTCTGACCACTGACCTTCTCTGATGGTAAAGTCTGACCTTGTCTGATGGTAAAGTCTGACCACTGACCTTGTCTGATGGTGAAGTCTGACCACTGACCTTGTCTGATGGTAAAGTCTGACCTTGTCTGATGGTAAAGTCTGACCACTGACCTTGTCTGATGGTAAAGTTTGACCTTGTCTGATGGTAAAGTCTGACCACTGACCTTGTCTGATGGTAAAGTCTGACCACTGAACTTGTCTGATGGTAAAGTCTGACCACTGACCTAGTCTGATGGTAAAGTCTGACCACTGACCTTGTCTGATGGTAAACTCTGTTTGCCGGCCTGCAGGAAGGGCGTGTAGAGGTCCGCTCTGACGTCACACGGTGCACGGAAGGAAAAAGCTTGGAAAAATTTCGTCCAGAGGTCATCACAGGATGTGGACACCCTGTCAAAATAATCTGATAATCACTAGTCTGAAAAAAATCTTCTAATCGCTTTGCAGCTGGTCAAAATAATCTAATAATCGCTAGGCAATAAGTCAAAATAATCTTTTAATCGCTAGGCAATAAGTCAAAATAATCTTTTAATCGCTAGTACAACTTCCGGTTATCGGAAATCGCTCAAAAGTTTATACGGATCTACGATTTTGATAAAATACTTATATATGAAATTCCATCAACCTAGCTGTAACGGTACTCAAGTTACCGTGTTTACAGACACACACAGACACACAGACATACAGACAAGATTGCAAAAATATGTTTTTCCGACGCAGGGAGGTGTAAAACTTCGAGTTTTTTTTGCACGATTACAAGACTTTCTCTATACTTTGTATAAACGAGAAAGTTTTTTTTTTTTTTTCTGTGGTTTAATAGTGTTCCTCTCTTGCTGCTCTCCCATTCGAACAAGGGTTGACAGCAAGAGCAGATTTACATGAACATATATGTTACATATTTATACAAGTTCTATATTGTAGCTAATGCAAAACGTTTAAAAGAAAGATTTAATATTAATACCCAACGTTTCCAGATCGCTTATTAACTTCTTCCTTTCCTTCTGAGACATGAATTACATTGTAGACATATTTGTACAAATTCTACCGTGTTTATATTTTTCCATTATGCACCTTATACAAAACATTTTTCAAGGCGAGTCGAATAGTTCTAGATTGTTTCTTACACCTTCTTTATCCTTCTGAGACATGATATTAAAATGGTGTGCTATCATATGCTTAAGAGTGCTTATTGGTGGCAAGAATGTATCACAAAAAGAACATTTGTTGATAGTTTCATTGTTGTGTTTTAGCCGGTAGTGTCTTCCTATGTCTTTGTGAGCAATTGTATCCTTACAGACGCTGCACTGTTTGAGTTTAGTGTGTTGTGCATTTTCGTGCTCTACAGCTTCCTTGACTGTTTGGTGCTACTTGGGGCAGAAAAGGCATATCCGGTAATCATGTTTTAGATTCGTGAGTTTTTGTGCTTCTGTTACTTCCCCTTGTTCTGTGTTGTCATGTACCAATTTTGCGGTTTTTAGACTTTTTGTTGTTTGCTTTGAATCTGTAGGGCTGTCCTCCTTTTACCTTTTTGGATTTGTGCAGGCGTCCATTTCTGATTCTGTGCTAAGGTTGTTTATTGCAAGGATTGGCTTCACTGTGGTTGTGTTTGGGGTCAGCGAGGATTATGAATTAAAGTCTGAGCTGAGGGCTGTTGTTGCAGTTGATTTGACGATTGGTGGTTTCGCTTCACTTGTATTAGAGATTGTTGGCTCGCTTGACAGTTTGGAGGGGCTGGTTGGTTTCCTGTTTGGTATTTCCGCTGTTGGGGCTTGCGGTGCAGTTGGTGCTGGTTCCTGTGTTGTTGACATGTGAACATTGGGTTTTGTTTCTGGTGCTGATGATTGGCAATGGTTGGTCCAGTGTTTGTCCGAGCTACACACCTGACAATCTTGGCGTCTTCCTGACAGTGCAATGAGGATATTCCGTGTTGTGTCTTTGTATGTAATGTTGATGTAGTGTGGGATGTGTAGTGGGTTGTCGTTCTGGGTGGTGAATCTGCGGTTGTTTGTGTGCGGGATTGTGGTTATTGTAGGTGTAGATTTGCTGATTGTTTGCAGTGCCTTAATTAGTGTTTCGTTGCTTAGGGCGGGCGGGACCCATCTGTGTTCCGATGATTTTGTCCTTGTAGTATCTGTCGAAATTCAAAGTGTATGGGCCGTGTGTTTTGGTGGTCCAGATCCGCTGCATCAAGCTCGTTGGAAGAGAAGTACCAGGTATCCCCTCGTCCATAGTTGAGCAGCAGGATCTGGTGTGGGCTAATGATATTGCGCATGAGGTGACCAGGGATGTTCTGGTGATTGCTTGATTTGATGGTAACTTGCATTACTGTAGGCGAGTCGGGGTGCTCATGAGCTATTTCATCAGACTGGTCAATGGTAATTGTTGTCTTGATATCTGAAAAGGATTGGGCCCATGGTTTCATTAAGCCCCCCGAACCGTAGTCCGGGTGGCTCCTCTCCCACGCTCTCGCCTAAGAGGGAATTTCAAAGGGCGCAACCCCTTTGCTGCCGCAGACAATTTTTGCGAATGTAGTCTGAGTGGATGACATTGGTGAAGTATACCGTATAAAACAAACCAACGAGAAAGTAAAAATCCAAATGAGCAAATTCGAGGTACATCTACTATTAAATTAGAAAATAAAATTTCGAATATCTATAAATCGGGTATTGTATAAAGTTAATGTGTTTTTGTTAAAATTGAAGTCAAATTTTACTTTCAACACACATAAAACATGAAAATTAAACTAACTGTCATGTATAACATTTATTATAAGTATTACGGTAAATAACATTGAATGACTTGCATTTTATTTTTGGTACTAATTTTATTTTTATTTTTTAATGACTTAGAGAAACAATGTATAAGTTATGTAACTTGGTTATTTTTATTTTATAAATGGGAAGTAACTATACAATTAAGTATACAAAAACAACCACTTGAGTAGGTTTTAATGTGCATAGTGTAGTTTTGAAACAGATAGCCTACATTATGTTCAGACTGACAATGAAAACCACATACAAATTATAGCTTCTTACCTCAATTAAGAGTATATTATTATCACTGAATTTAAAATACAAACAATTCTGTTTGGGTAAAATTTTCAACGATAGTCTCATGCATAGAATTTGGAGGCTTAAATTTGGACTGTTCACAGTAACTCTGGCATATTGTCATTATCTACTACTGTCAGCTATTTAATTAGACCAGATACTTATTATTAAGTATATTAATTAATCTGTTATGTTATTTTTTTTAAATGGTTGATAGAAAAAATATAAGACATGCCTACAGAGTTTCTCCCCTCCCCCCCCCCCCCACGAACTAAATAGAATTTATATTGAAAATATATATTGAAAATATATATTGAAAATATATACTTTACCCGTGTTCGCCGCCCCCCCCCCCTGAAAATGTATTCCGCCCCACGAAAATATCAAGTGCCCCCCTCCTCCTCCCCCCCCCCTAGAAAAAAGACTGAAAGAAACTCTGATGCTCACATAGGCAGAATAGCCTTGTATACGACTTCTGAGTAGTCGTAGCAGCGCCCCTTAAAGACAGCCTCTAAATTTGGGGTCGTTCCTTTCTCTGAGCCCACGAGATGGGCCGTTGCCATGGTAAACAGCAAGGTGACCAACAAGCGAGCCATTGTGTCCCTGAAATGTTAAAAGGCTCTTTAAACACAAATAAAATACTTAAAAAAAACTTTTTAAAAAAACACGTTTTTCTTGTGGACTAAAAAGTAGAAAATAACTATTTACATACATTTGATGACAAAAAACGTGGGTACGTTCACCATCAAATTTCCCGACCCATCTGCCCGACCCACGTTTTTTGTCATCAAATGTATGTAAATAGTTATTTTCTACTTTTTAGTCCACAAGAAAAACGTGGTTTTTTTAAAAGTTTTTTTTAAGTATTTTATTTTCTCCTTTTTAGTCCGTTGCTACACATGAAAAACGTGGTTTTTAAAAAGTTTTTTATATAGTTTATTTTCTACTTTATCTAATCACTTGATTAAGTATGACTTGACTAAGTGTTTTTAAATACACGGACTAAAAAAATCTTGAGCGACCGATACGCTTTAAACAGAGAAAGGGTGTAATTTACGTTGCTGGCGTGGAGATCTACTCACGAATCACGTGATCAAATCTCCCATAAACAAACAAATAAACGCGAAGCTGAGTTAAGGAAAAACGTGTTTATGTGTATTTTAGCATGCCCAGCGTACCAACCGTGTCACCGTTAACAATGTGTTACCGTGTCCGTTCTCCTTTTTAGTCCGTTGCTACACATAAAAAACGTGGTTTTTTTAAAAGTTTTTTTTAAGTATTTTATTTTCTCCTTTTTAGTCCGTTGCTACACATGAAAAACGTGGTTTTTAAAAAAGTGTTTATAAATACACGGACTAAAAATCTTGAGCGACCAGGATTCGAACCTGGGTTGTCGCGGCCACAACGCGAAGTACTAACCACTATACGATCACGGCCAGCGCGCTCACATCGATTGGGGCCGAAGTAACTGTGTCAATAGGCCTCCAGTCTTGTCGGTATCTTTAGAAATCATGTCCTCAATTTTATGGTCCTTGGGGCGTAATTAAATTAAGCTAATTACGGTCACTAATTGCTAGTTTTTATGATTGCATCTGAAATTGTTAGGCGAAAGTAGCATGCATGCCAAATTTCAGGTCTCTAGAGCAATCAGAAGTGGGCTAATTTTCGATGTCAATTTTAACAACAAACATCCAAACAACCAAACAAACAAACAAACGCGAAGCTGAGTTAAGAAAAACGTTTTAAAATAAGGAAATAAATGTTTGTTTTTTCTAGCTGATTTTTTTTTCGGAAATTGTTTTGATTTATTTTTTATTTTTTCCCTGCTGTTTCATAAATCCTGAATGGTTGTACGACGGATCAGTATTAGTAACGCAAGGGCATAACTACATATATTTAGATCTACTAAAACAAGTACTCCACTTGCCTTCTAATAAGCTACCTCTCTTTGAACTACGGCGCTAGGAAAATTTATACTATGAACCATTTTATATTGTTCTGTCGGCAACTTAAATCTACTCATCGCTACGGACTTTTTTTTTAAATAATTTCTTGTCTAGATGTTATGTCAATATTTTCATATAATTTATACTTATTTTTATGCTATATTTTAATAGATTTGGTTGTGCTGGGCTTTAGTGTTTGGTTATGGTCAAGGGGACACCTTAATAAACGGTGGACAAACTAATGAAAAGAGAGGGTGTCCGGATTTTTGTCAGACGTTCTACGAGGTAGTGGGGAGGGAGTGTCCAGACCTTTATAAAGATGTTCTACGCGGTGGTAGGGTGGGGGCGTACGGATATTTAATTTTCCACAATGTCAGTTAGGTACCCATCAACGCTGGGTGGACTCAGGGGCGGTCTAATATTTATAAAGATGTTCTTAAAAAAAAAGTATTTACATTAGGATTGTGGCTGATGGCGGTGGAAGAGGAGGGTGGTGAGCTTTAAGGCAAAATTGAAATATGTCAACAGTATCAATGTATATTTTTTATATAACTGGACTTTATATAACTACACTACGGGATCCGAAATAAACTACATGGTAAAATATAGTCTCAAAATAGCAATGAATTTTAATATCCGATCAAAATGTACTATTTATTTTTTTATATTTTAAAATACTTAATCAATCTTGAGTAAATTAAAACAATCGCTAGTATTGAAAGGTAAATAAATACAGACCAAGTATAGCAGTAGAGACGCCTGCCTTGGCTGTGGTACGTATGTGTTGATGGTGGGTTTTTTTTAACGTGTAGCTTTAAAGTCCTGACATGGCCCGAAAAAAAAAACCAAACATCTGCTACACAATACAAGGATAGGTTTATCTATTTCGGGAATTTCTTAATTTTAAATAGACTTTAGTACACTCCAGTCACTCTAGTCCGAGTTAATTAAGTCACTGATCTTTGGATTCTTTGGCACTCTTTTGTGAGAGAGCATTGACGCGAGGTCGAGATTATTCGTCTACACCAATTAGCCTACTAATTAGTGAGATTAAAATGTGTGTGTGTGTGTGTCAGTCTGGGGTAATAAGCTAAACCTGGGCACAAGGATAAAGATTGTTAAGTCATCTTTTATTTTTCTCGATACAGTAAGGTTTAGAAAGGGGTCTTGGTGGTATAGCCACGTTGTAACTTATTGTAAGCAGAGTTTCTTCCGCACCCCCCCCCCCCAGAACGAAATGGAAATTTATATAGAAAATATATACACTTAATAGTGTCCGCCCCCCCCCCCCCCGTTGTTTTTTCCATAGTCCATGTAAAACTGCCGTGACATAATCCTATGTTACTTTGTCGTGACATAATCCCACGTTACCATGGCGTGACATAATCCCATGTTACCATAGTGTGATATAATCTCATGTTACCATAGTGTGACGACATAATCCAATGTTACCATAGTGTGACATAATCCCATGTTACCATGGCCTGACATAATCCCATGTTACCATAGTGTGATATAATCTCATGTTACCATAGTGTGACATAATCCCATGTTACCATAGTGTGACGACATAATCCCATGTTACCATGGCCTGACATAATCCCATGTTACCATGGCCTGACATAATCCCATGTTACCATAGTGTGACAGAATCCCATGTTACCATGGCCTGACATAATCCCATGTTACCATAGTGTGACATAATCCCATGTTACCATAGTGTGACATAATCCCATGTTACCATAGTGTGACTTAATCCCATGTTACCATAGTGTGACATAATCCCATGTTACCACAGTGTGATATAATCCCATGTTACCATGGCCTGACATAATCCCATGTTACCATGGCCTGACACAATCCCATGTTACCATGGCCTGACATAATCCCATGTTACCATAGTGTGATTTAATCCCATGTTACCATAGTGTGACATAATCCCATGTTACCATGACGTGACATAATCCTATGTTACCATGACGTGACATAATCCCATGTTACCATAGTGTGACGACATAATCCCATGTTACCATAGTGTGATATAATCCTGTTACCATAGTGTGACATAATACCATGTTACCATGGCCTGACACAATCCCATGTTACCATAGTGTGACATAATCCCATGTTACCATAGTGTGACATAATTCCATGTTACCATAGTGTGACATAATCCCATGTTACCATAGTGTGACATAATCCCATGTTACCATGACGTGACATAATCCCATGTTACCATAGTGTGACATAATCCCATGTTACCATGGCCTGACATAATCCCATGTTACCATGGCCTGACATAATCCCATGTTACCATGGCGTGACATAATCCCATGTTACCATAGTGTGACATAATCCCATGTTACCATGACCTGACATAATCCCATGTTACCATGGCCTGACATAATCCCATGTTACCATGGCCTGACATAATCCCATGTTACCATAGTGTGACATAATCCCATGTTACCATAGTGTGATATAATCCCATGTTACCATAGTGTGACATAATCCCATGTTACCATGACGTGACATAATCCCATGTTACCATGACGTGACATAATCCCACGTTACCATGGCGTGGCATAATCCCATGTTACCATGGTCTGACATAATCCCACGTTACCATGGCGTGGCATAATCCCATGTTACCATAGTGTGACATAATCCCACGTTACCATGGCCTGACACAATCCCATGTTACCATGGTGGGACATAATCCCATGTTAGTGTGACATAATCCCATGTTACCATGGCGATACACTCCCATTGTGTACCACAGATTAGTCCAGGTACCACACCGATTGGGTCAGCTATGAGTGACACATCACTAATGTAAAAATTGTGTTTATTGTGATCTCTACAGTCTGTTTGCCAACTATGAACTTCCAGGTATATTGGTATTGTTTAATTAACTTCAGTGTGGGAACAGAAAACCAGGCATGGTAATGTAAGAATTTTATTTATAGTTGCTGCCCTTTAGTACATTATCACTGTAGTATTGGCACCATCTAAGATTTGTTCATGATTTAATGATAAAAATTAATAATTAACACATACACACAAAAATACTACAAAGATGTTTTAGTCACATATGTAGAAAGGTTTGATGTATATTTTTTTCATAATCTAAGTACAAAATATTAAAAATTTGAAGTTGTATTATCAATAGTGATTAAGTAAACATAAAAATTAACAAATTAAAGTGGAAACATGTCAACAACATAATTAACTGAGAAATTAATTTCTAAAAATATAAATAAATTCTACATATTCTACATACAAACATATCATTTTTTTAAATTAAATTGAAAAAAAAATGTATCTGTACATATAAATCAGTTAATGAAATAATTAAATCTGTTTAATTTTTTTTACATCTCATTTGTAAGTTATAATTAACATACTGTTTTACAGTTTCACAAAAATGTAACAAAATAATCATGATCAACACAATTTTTTAATAAGTGTAGAGGTTTATAAAACAGTTGACTATTGCAGTAAGGAGCCGGAGTTCTACTTGGAAAACAATGAAAGCTGCAGCAGGGGAACCACTTGAAGTGTAAACAGGTCGGCCAGGACTGACTGGAAAGTCAAAAGAAAATATCATTTAGTTTGTTTAGTTATACATAACAGATGGTTGGAGTAGTTGAATGGTAAAGCATACGACTGATAACATGAAAGTCTTGAGTTCGAATCTGGGTTCATGTCAGTAGGATGTCTCTGAGTTCATCCAGCTGTACTGAGTACCTGACTTGCGGTAGGAAAGGTAAAGGTGGTTGTGCATAGTGCTGGCCACACTATCTCTTCATATGCCGAGGTGACAGAAACAAGTGAACTCTACTTCAAATGCCCCACAGACTGTCAGTATGTATAATAGACAAACAGATGAACACAGGACAATATAGTTTGAACATGGGACATTATGGTTTGTGTAAAGTTTATGTGATGATCCAAGTTTACAGTATATTTCAAGGGGAGATAATTCAAGTATGTAGTATTGGTATCTGGATAATTGTGCTATACCTTGTGTTAAAAGTGGGTTTAAAAGTGGAAACATTCTAAATATCTATAAATGTTGAAATATTATTTTTTTAAACTGGACTTACCTCTGCAGTATTTAGATTTTGAACTTTCATTAAATTTGTTTTTCTAAATGAAAAAATAGCCACTGCCAAAACTGAAAAAAAAAAATTTTAAATCATGTTTCTACAGTTTCACAGCTATAAAATATGAACAAAATTATCTTAAAACAACAACAGAAAAACTCTGACCAGACAAAATTTCCAGAGAGTCAAAAGCCAAAATCCTGTCCCACAGGAGTAAAACTTGATCACTTGCCAAAAACCCAGAAAATGCTCTCATTAGCCATTTAAATGCTATCCTTAACCTGCTCAGTAATGTAAACAGAAGATTATTATTGGAAGATTATAGTAAAATTCTACACAAAGAGAAATTCCTATATTTAAAGAAATAATGTATAATAACTTTTGCAGTGTTAAATTATTTTTAAAAAAGCCTCAAATCATAAATATATGTAAGCATGCTTCTAGCTGTTTTAGATTCTTGATTTAACTTAATTTTAAAGAACACACATTCGTAAAAAGAAAAAAATATAATAAAAATTCATCAATCAGATAAAAAAAGGCAACAATTTAACATTAAATTAACTTAATTTGCTACAAATGTGTTTAATTAAAAAAGTTTAGAGAGATATTTTTTATGAAAATCCACTCACGGCTGACACCCCACTTGTTTCAGGTGAAAAAACAATTCTGGCTCTTCAGCTTGTAGCAAATTTTCAAACAAGAGACTCAACCCAACAATACCCTGGAAAATTGATTTCAGAATATGTTGGTTTATGCTGAGTTGTATAACTACTGCATATATTTTCTGTGATTTTTATAAACTAATATCAAAATTATCTTTACGAGTATAAGTTTTGTATTATGATATTAAAGGAAACCCTTTGCTCCGAAGAAAAAGAAAAATTATGATAATAATAAAGAAACCAACAAAAATTATTACTGTAAAACAACCTATCTTTAAATGAATAATAAAGAAACCAACATAAAATATTACTGTACAACAACCTATCCATAAATTTATAATAAAGAAAGCAGCATAAAATATTAGTGTAAACCAAGCTATGTTGAAATGATCACCTGAGGATGTGAAGATATGCTGTGTAGTCTGAAGAAATAGTGGGTGTACATGTGGCGGAATACAAAGTAGAGCTGGACAACATCATTGTACAAATAGCAAAGGGGGGCAACTGGTTTAAAATACAAAATAAAAAATTCATTCTGCACATAAATATGGGAGGCAACTGAAAACAATCAAATACATTTTGAAATTGAATTAAATATTTTAAAGACTTATCCAAATGGTAAATAAACTCAACATGCATATAATCACCATATCTAGTAACCTATTTATTGTTTTACTATACTTATTTGATGCGCCAAATTTTTTAAAAAACGTACCATACATAGCAAAGCCATGAAAGGGGATAACCCCGCTGGGTGGGTAGGTAACAGCAAATTCTTCCATCCCTAGCTTGCCCCTGATGTAGGACTTTGGGGGCGTGGCGCTGTTGTGCTGAAAATGCTTTAACACAGCTGTGTCTCTAGAGAAGGGGAGAAGAACCTGTGCAGGATATAAATAGACCAGGTCACTCAGCAAACAGGGGATTCATGGTAACGATAGCCCCATCAACAAAATTAAGTTACCAACAGCTGAAGGCTGTAAATACCAACAGTAAAGTATGGTGTCATTAAAATAATACTGTCAATAACAGCATGTTTTTTAAAAATACCAACTGTAAATTAGCATTTTATACAGAATATTCATTGACAACTATTAGCCATTAAACACACTAATTCTTATAAAATATAAAGAAAGTAGAATGGGACAGGAGTGGCCTAATGATAGAGAGCTGGACTGCTAACCCGTAAGTCTCAAGTTTGAATCCGGCTTTAAGTCAGTAGACCATCCCTGAGTCCACCCAACTCTGATGGGTACCTAACTCAAGTTAGAGTAAGTAAAGGCGGCTGGGCATAGTGCTGACCACACTATTCCTTCATATGCTGAGGTCACAAGTGAACTCTACTTCACTTGCCCTGAAGACCATCAGGTTTGAAAGGGAACTTTACTTTTTTTTTATAAAGAAAGTAGAGTAGTAGTTTGTCTTTCAGACCTAACAATCTGTAGGGCGGATGATGTAGAGTTTATTTGTTTACTTTCCGTGATGTGTCGAGTACCCATCAGAGCTGGATGCACTGAGGCATGCAGTCCCGGATCGGGCAGAGATCCGAAGAGACATTTGGGCTAGCAGTTGAGTACTACACCACTCAACTACCCTGTCGCAAGAAGAGTAAAGCCAGTCATTCGATTGTTTGTGTAAAGATCAATATTTTTGTTTCAGTATTACATTACCTGGTACAGAAAATCTTCAAAAACAAAATACTGATCATCATTTGTGGCTGTCAGTTTGACATCCTAAAAATGTACAAAATTTGAATACAATTAATATTTCATTACATCAGTGAAATGATTCATATATTTATAATGTAATATGGAAGATAATTTTCAACCATTTAAGAGTATATTGAACTCGTTAACAAAATATCTTTTGATATTGTAGATTATTTTTTTATTAAAAAAATATATTATGCTTGAGGAGAGACTGAGTAACTTCCCTTTTACTATTTGAGTTATTTACCTTATACAACAGACTATCAACAAGAAGGTCATGCTGGAATACACACCCCTTTAGCTGTTCATAGTACAGATAATCCTAGATTTAAAAAAATGAAATTACAGAATAAATTAAAAAGACTAAATTTTTAAAATGTTAACTCAATTAGCATAGGAAATTAGGCTACTGTCTAACTTGTACTCAATACTTTTTATGTGTTCAGAAACTTAAAATGTATTAACTTTGTTGAGTACATAATGATAATTATTCTGTTTTAACTATTGACATAATCTTTAGAAACTAAGATATAATAAAACTCACTATGATAAACACTTTCTGGTAAGACACATAACAAACCAGATTATTTTTTAAAATCTATGATTAAAATTATGATGAAAATTATTTAAAATTTCACAAATGGAAAAGTTAACAGAAATTGAAATAGATGAAATGTAATTGAAGTGATAAAATTGTTATAATTAGATGCAAATTTTATCTTTAATTTATTCACAATTCATTACCAAATAACCTGCTGTTAAAAAAAAATTAGCATTTCCACAGGCCTACCACTTTCTCTAGCTCAACCCCCAGCATCTGGCACCACAACTCTGCTCTCATAGACACCGGGCAGCCTTTCTTGGAGAATTCTCTTGATATAGGAGCATGTCTTTTTGCAAGAACTGTTGATGACAATTTCTTTACGTTACCATGTACAAATATGTTCAAGATTTTTCATATAACTAAGTAAATTTGAAACATTTAAAGTCTTTAACAACACTAACAACATAAGTAGGTCTACAAATAAAGATTTTGTAATTAGACTAATTTGTTGATTAAGCAATATTTCTTTATTGTTAAAAATCTGTAGGAAAAGACAGCATTGAGAAAAGTTGTTTAGCCCTGTATCAGATTGATACTCTACAGGTAGTTTACCTTTCTTGCCAAGTTTAGTTCTTTCATTCTCAAACAGCTCAGGAGGAATGTCAGACATATCATCAGTGCCAGTCTGACAATAGGTGATTGCCATTTCACTGTACTGAAGCCTCTATAAAGATCAATAGGCATTAATGTAGGTGTACAATAGAATTTTTTTGTTTAAAATTAAATTTCTGCCAATAATTATATAACCTTTTTTGACACGTTACAAAGAACAAATAGTTATCTTTTTAAAATTACTAAATCATAATGACTGAATAATAAATGTTTTTATTTTTTTTAAGTGAAACGATTTTGGTATATATTTGAATAGATGAAATAAGTTTAACCATTTAAGTCTGATGTCTTAGCCTTACCAATTCATTAAGTGTTTTGACTTTAATTGAAACTTGGATGAAGCCCCATGGTAAATCATGTGTTCTATAAATTAAACAAAATAAAATTAAATCTTTATTGTTTGCTCCATTTGTTACATCAACAATCAGAATTTGGTTGTGGAAATGATTAATTCTAAGTTATTCATTTAGCAGTTTTGATGTATTTAAAGATAATTATTCAATTTATTATATTAGGCTTGTCGGTATCGGCCGAGATCGCGGTAAAAACATGACCCGAAATCTCCCATTACTTTCTGATACCGGGCGCACGAGATTTAGTTTTGCATACTAATAAGTTTTTAATTTATGGTAATTAATTAAGTTTAAAAGGTCATTTCCTAATGTTAAATGAAAAGTAGAATGGTTTTCCAGTTGTTTTGATGGCTTAGCGATCTGATTGCATGCTGTCTCTGCTTTGGTCTTACCGCGGTATAAAGGTTAACTTCAAATGCTTTAAAAACGCGATTTTTGAAAAGTTTCCATTTAGATAATGAAAGTTTCCAAAGCAGATACATCCCATTTTTATAGAAATGATATTTATTTTTGGATATTTTGACTTTGACATTAGTAAATACTCATTTGAAAGTAGTCACCGTAAGTAGGTCACGTTGCCCCCATTGACTCCAATGTTATATTTCTTCATCCCGATCTGCCGGCTTTTAGTTTTGATACACTAACAACAGTATTCTTATGTAATGTACAAACAAATCTCCTACTTGTTGTTTTAAACATATTTTAATATAGATCTACCTGTCTTTCATTTTTTCAACTCTGGTTCTAGTTTTGCTTGAAGTAAAATTTTGCTGAGTCAGACATAGGTTACCTGTCTGTTGCTAGAATACACTACACTAGCTATGTGCTAACTGTAATTTTAAGTATTCAAGTTCTACTTACCCTTACTTAGTTATATTTATATGCTGAAAATCAGAATTCATACAAAATACACACATAAAAACATTGATCAGATAACTTCAGTTCACTTTTAACAAAATGGCTTAAAGATAGACTCTACTTCACCTGCCCAAAATAATAAGGCAATTATATGCACATTACAGTGTTCAAGTCATTTACTTTAGATTGCTAACTATGTAGTTCTTTCATTCACTGTATTTATATAAAGCATTGCTTTAGAAACTTTTTCATATTTGCGCAGCACAGTTTTATAACAAAATGTCTTAAAGATGGACTCTACTTCACCTGCCCAAAATAATGGGGCAGTTATATGCAGTTATATGCACATTTCAGTGTTCAAGTCATTTACTTTAGATTGCTAACTTTGTAGTTCTTTCATTCACTGTAAAACATTGCTTTAGAAACATTTTCATATTTGCGCAGCACAGTTTTTTTGGGGTTATGGAAGGAAGCCAACACAAAAATATACTTCTGTATTATTTTTATTTATTTCAACAGCATATACAAGTTCTATATATCATTCTAGCTCAACTCTGCAAATATGAACAAAATACAACTGCAAGTAAAATAACTATGCTCAATTTATTCAGGTATACCATGACTTGTCACAATTGGCCAATGCAAAAGCAAGGGCATTACACCCCTCACAAAAAAATTCGCTAAAAAAAAACTATTTGAGCTAGACAGAAAATCTTTTTTGTTTTGTTTTCATATAGTTGAGCTCTACAAGAATATGTAATTTTTATTTTTATATGATGATTAGTGTTTTTTTACCAAAATCCCTAATTATATACTGATATAGAAATGTAGTAGCACATTATTACTTGATGCAATCATTAATATATTAATTTTCAATGTGAAAATAAATTTCTTATTATTTTCATGACTTTAAAGTTGTAAGACATTCATTTACGTAAATTTTTACAGGAATATTCTGAAATTCTAAGGTAACTAAAAAATAGAAACATAAGCTACATTTGTTTGTAAAACTAAACAAATAGACACAGAGCGTGTACTGATTCAGCTGAGTACACAATAATTGTTTAGCTAACATTATCCAATCACACAATTGATTTTTCCCATGAGGTTGAAGCTTATGGGACAAAACAGACAGGCCTGCTGGTGTAAAGTGATACAATTACATGGTCAGCTCTAATTTAGTTTAAGGCAAGAATCCAAAAGTTACTTTATTTTGAATCACTATAAATCTATTTATCAATTTACTTCATAATTTTTAAACTTACACAAAATTCCCTGACAAATCAATATGAACCAGCAATTTTAAAAAAATGAGATTGGTAATTTTTAAAAGCATATTGATCTTTAACTATCCTCATATATCAACTATTATAAAAACATTAGAGGTAATCTATCGTTTTAGGTATGTAAAATCGCCCGCGACATGTAATGTGAAAAACAGGTGACTCCTAAAATTTTAATAATTATTTCACATTTTGAGGAGGATTTAGGTTTTATAAAATACAAAAATGTTTCCTTGTTTCATTTATGTACCTGTTTTTAAACAATTGAATTAAAACTTTTCCGTAATAAATGAAGACAAGTGATGTTTCCAACAGATGCAACCATGCTCATTTACTATAGCAGCCATCTTGTCTAAGTTATATTTTTATAAGCTTATAGCGCAGATTCAGGGGGAAGCCACTCTATTTTACAAATGGCTGCTGTTTATATAGCAAATCTTGCTCTCAGACACTGATGTTTAAAGTTAATTTCTGGCCTTTATCGATATATTTAGCCATTGATTTAGGTTTATTATTCATTTTTCTATAATATTTGACACAAACATATGACAATATACTTCTATTAAAGCCTTGACAATGAGGTAACGTTTTCGTACATTAATAGCCGCGCGCGATTTTATGTACCCAAAACGATAGATTACCACATTAGAAAATATTAAGTGATAATTGAATTGGTCCGGCATTGTCAAACTTGATTTCAATGCATTTTGATGAAAAAAAGACTAAACTTAACAATCACCCAATGTTTCCTGAGTTTGCACTATTAGGATTTTGGAGATTTATAACCACATCAAGAAAATCTTTGGGAGCATATACAGGTCTGATCTGGCTGAGATCTGAAACAGTATTTTATACTATTGTAAAGAATAATTAAATCTTCACTGTAAGAAATATTTAAAGTCAGATACAATGAAATATTTAGAATTTTTACTCATCTAATATGCCAGTAAAAGGTATTCATTATTTTAATAGCTTGTTATTTTTACTTTTAAAAATTTTTGCTACACAATTAAAATTATAAAACACAGTGCATGCAACTCTATTATGTTTGGACTAATTAAATAAAAATTATTTGAGTTTGAATTGATGAGCTATTTAGAAAATGTTTTATCTGATTAAAATGATTACTTTACCTGGGCCATCAACACCTAGCTCTGTCCATCTTGTTGTCAAGTCTTTTTTATCCTTATCTGTCCTCTATTTTTAAAAATTTAAAAACATATTTAAGGGCTAAAGATGCAGCATAAAAAGGATAAACTTAACTGACTGATTCTTAAATTATTAATTTTTATTTTTCTGTGTGAATTTAACATACTGAAACTATATTAATTTCAAACACTACATATGGTAAAAAAAAAATATACTCTTGCATACATGCTTAAACAAAATGCAGATTTCCTTTATAAACTTTTTTTCCTTTCATATAGAGAAGGTTATTTAGAACTTGTTTTATTTATTTATTTATTTATTTGTGAATAGGTTGGTGAAACATAACTTTTTAATAAAAAAGCAAATCACAACCGATCTGATACTTACACTTCTGGCCAGTGGAATAGTTAGCTCTGTGCACATGCTATTTAAACTTTTTAATATCTTTTTCTCCCAAGTCAGCTGAGGCAAAAACATTCATATTCGATAAGAATCAAGAGAAGTAAGTATAACTAAATTATTTACAAAAACCGTTAAGTTATTGAGACTATTACGTACTATTTTTCCTCAAATTTTTAGAAGGCTATTTGAATCATAATGGTACAGTTGCTTAAGAGAACCACACAAAAACATATATGCCACCCTAACTTTATCCACATCACAAATATAAATCTAAAGACAAACCTGTGCTTTCATAATGTAAGGGATAGGTTCTTTTAGTAGCTCTGGATTCACATGCAAATTATTTTTTGGAATCTTAGGCTGTGATAAAAGAAATTTGTATACGGCATTTCGAAGCTTGCGATCCCAATCTGAGAAAAAACAAAGTAGTTTAACATTGAAAATAGAAGATAAATCCAAATATTTTATTTTTATTAACTAAGTTTGATCATAAAACTTTTTTCATTTAAAAAGTTAGACAATTGAGTATAAAACAATTCATGGAATTATCACTGCCACTATTATATTTCTAGATTATGAAGAAAATTATGGTGTCTAATGTTTTTAATTTAAAGTTTTTTTGAACAGTACACATAAAACATGTATCTGTACCTGACATAACAAGACCATTCTGTACACTTTTTCTTAACTCTGAGATTCGACAATTAGATTTTTGGGCTTCATCCTTAAAAATTAAACACAAACAGATCATTTAACAAGAAACAGCTGTATTTTTTTAAATTTTATTTTTAAATTACGCTTGCTAACATAAAATATTCAGTTTGCTAAAATTTTAAAAATAATTGTACCTGTGCAGCACACAACAATTCATTCAACAGTGTAGTTGAGCGCAAACTAGCCAGCAGATTAACAAATAAATCAGCCTGCTCTGTATCCATTTTGTAGTCAACAACCCATTAACAACATTGATCAACTGGAAATTACAATAAGTAATTATTAAAATATTTAAAAATGGGCTGATATACCATTTTACTAAACTACAGCTGATTTCATTTGCCTTTTAAAAATACAAATAATATTATCTTTAAGGTTTTTTGGAAAGCTAATAATCGCTGTTTTAATCCATTGCATTTGTAACTTCATTTATAATGATATGCTACTCTTTTAAACACTTCTTTGCAATAATTAGTCATTATAAAAATTATTAATTATTAGGAAAGCCTATTATTTACCCACAATGAATTCACCCTAATGGGGACATTAAAAATGTATCCCAAAAATTGTATTCACAAACTAATAGGCCTACTTATAAAACTTAAAATAAATACGGAATTCTATTAAATGTAAATAATTTTAACATAAAACTAGAAAAATAGCAAATTGAGTTGTATAAACTCAACTAGGATGCTGGATCATTTTAAGAGTCATTAAAACTGATTAGGTCAGATAAGTAAATGTATATAGTTATTACTTACATTCCTTTTCTTTACTATGTTACACTAACTAGTGTCTAATAATGCCACAATAAAAAAAGTGTTAGGTTTTTTGGCAATAAACTAAAAAACAAATATTATAAAGATCTAGACATAACCTGATTATATCTCTGCATTATACCTATCCATAAAAGATTAACAGTACAAGCCTATACTAATTTGAATGGGTAATTTCAATATAATTCTAGCATAGCACTACAGACTCACTATACACTACTATACAGTCACACTATACAGTTTATCAAATAAATGATCAGTTTTACTGGTTAGATGTTTGAAAAATAGAAAAATTATTTTTTTCTAAGTTCTAATCATAATCTAAGTAATTATTAATTAAGCTAGAAATAGGGGCCTATAAATTTCTATCAGTGGAAATGGAAAGCACCCATTCTCCTCTCTCAGTCTCTGACTCTAGTTCTAGCAAATAGCTAACTCCTCATATGAATTTTATGATGACCGTATTATAATTATATTGAATTTGAATATATTTCATATATATAATTGACAAGTAATTGTTATTATTAACAAAAACTAATATAAAAATATAAAGATAAAGAAAGATTTTTAAGATAGCCCTGAGGCTGCGGCTGAGGCCTGAGGGCTATTCAAATAAATTAAAATATTACATCTTGTCATCTAGTATTAAAGTTAAATTGACGCTTGTTGTCTCAACACGCCGGTTTGTTTCGTTTGCTAGATCAGGAAGTAAGAGGCCCGTTTAGTTTATTTAGTTAATTAGAGAAAAATTAGAGAAAAAATATGAAAATCACACTTTTCATTAAAAAATTTCCGCCATCTTGACAGCAACCGTAAACAAAAGTTAGCAACCTCTTTTGTTAGAAAAGTAAGATTAATAAAAGTAAAAACTTGAAGTATTTTCCCTTTGAAAACAACCAACAACTTCCGGAGAAAATATGTTATTAGTTTAGAGTTTAGAGTTTAGTCAGGTATCAACAAATTACATCAGATCACAACCATGTTGCCCGCGATTCACAGTGTTGTTGCTTTTTTAATTGTAGCTGTAATAATTGTCATTTTTCTGGTAAGTAATCACATTTGTTGTTTGGAAAGTGTTTTTGTTTTACGCGAATGCTTCAACAAAACTTGAAAAAAAGTTTATTTTTATACCGGCGGCACCACCGGTAAAATTTGATGAACGAAGAGTCGGAAGACTGAAGAGTCGAAGACGAAGTGAACACAATTTCTTTTCCGACTTAGTTAGACTATCCGTCCGTATGTTGTTTGGATTTAGATCTAGAATCTAGATCTAGATAATAGTCTAGCTAGAGTATGCAACATCAAATTCCCCAATCTCCCACCAGGACCAGTAGCCTAATCATCATAAAATAAAAATTTAAAATAGATCTAGTCTAGAATCTAGATTCCTAGATCTTCTAAAGTCTTATGGCAGGAAACAGATTAGTACCGGAAAATGCATATTCGATCTTCGCCGTTCATAAACTTTCTAACCAGACATCGTTCGGGGATTTTGTTTATACTGATAAATAGAGCTATGTTTTTACAAGCTTCGTTAGCAACATTTTTGTGGAATACGTTTTTTATGACATTTTGTGCCGCGGCGAAGGATGCGAAGTATGCAAATCTGGACGGAATGGATCTACTTGGAAAAGTACGTGTACTGCACTAATAAGGTAAGAAATACTATTTTGTAAAAATAACTATTATTTTTATGGATTTTTCATTAGAAATGATTGCTGTAAATTATGAAAGTAAAAAAAAGTATATTTGAATGTGTTTTTTTCTTTAATTTGAACAAAGTGAATGGCCATAATTACGACACATCGGCGTCGTTGAAAGCGGGGATTTCAGTTAATTTTTTACGGATATAAAATTGTATTTTTTTCCTCCGAGGCATGTACTTAAATAACAGTTTAGTTAAATGTATTTAATTCTGTAAAATATAAGTATTATTTTGCCGTAGATACTTAAAAAAAAATTTTTTATGATTTTCTGTCGGGGAAAATCGATATTCGCACCATGCACGCACGCGTAGTAAAACTAGACTTATCTTTAAAACACGAGAATCTTGAGTACACTGCGAATAACAAAGTTTTTAAATTTTAGTTTACTTTTGACTTTAAGCCATTTGTTTTAAATCGAAATTAATTGATAATGTAATTATTTCAAAGTAAAAATTTTCCGTCTGATTGGGTTCTAATCTTCGCCCACTGAACCAGCTTACGCACGACATTCGCGCGAGTCTGTTTCTTCGCAATAGTCTGTATAGTGTCGAGGGCTAATTCTAAAAAGAATCGAGTCCTTACTAATCCAATGTTTATTAAAATTAGGTACAATTGTTGGAACGCATGAGAAATAACAAATTAATATTTCTTTAAATCTATAGCCAAAAGAAAGTAGAACTTTATAACTCTGTAAATTATGAATCGAGAGACGGCTGTCGTGAAAACGGGAGCCATTTTACTTTTTTTTTAGGGTGACCTACTTTTATTATATAATTTTAAAATTCATCGATTTGATAAGCAGTTGAGTAGCTGAATACGCATGCGATATGGCTGGCACGTTTTGGGATAGGGATCGAGTACACCATAGAATTTTTTTTTCTTAGAACTAAGCGTATTTTTTTTTAAATCAAAAGATACTTACTTATCAGTTGTTGATTTCAATTTCATTATAGATCTAATCACTAACTTCAGTTTTTAAAAGTGATTTTGCATCTAGATCTAGCGTATTTTCAAAATTACGTAAATCTAGATCTATTTTTTAGATCTAGATCTAGATCTAGATCTATTCTACTTACTATTTGACAACCGTGTCAGTAAAATGAGGTCAGCGCTTCCAGATTCTTGGGTTTTAATTATGTTTGTCATTTTGATCTATTATAAGTAGCATTAAAACAACTGCATCTATTATCAACATTGTTTTTATATGCCAGTTCTAATTATACATTCTGTTCATTACCAATTCTAATGAAATCGTATCAGGCCCTAACACCCTGTTCACCTACACTCCTACACTGACACTACACTTGAAAGACGCCACAGAGAGTCGTAACTTTAAATTAATGTTTAAAGTACTAAACAATTATAATTAGCCATGTAAATGCTGCAACTATATTAAAAATTGGCATATAGACATATTTTATTAATTATGTTTTTTATATAGACCTTCTATATTTAACTCTGTTATTTTTTTCTTCCCCAGAGTGTTTCTAAAAGCCAGAATTTTAATGGGGAGGGCGGTCGTTTTTTTTCTCAAGAATAATTATAGAAATAAGCTATAAACTGGTATATTTTGTAAAGTTTGACATAATTACAAATAAATGTATGCCTAAGTGACATTTCTGTGTAATTATATTGTTAATTTTGTGAATTTCGTGGATTTTTAGACCTCACTACATTTAGATGTAAAAAAAAAATCTCAGTTGAGTGAGTGTGGTTAATCTACATTTTGAACGTGATGTAAATGTCTAGTGCTATTAATTTTTATATTTTTGAATTCCTCGATTGTTAAGCAACAAAATTGATATATAATATGTCAATAATTGTTACTTTGAAAATTGGCGAAAATCGACCCTAAAAGTAGATGTTTGAGGGTTGAATCTGTTTCCTGCCTTATCACTACTCTAATCAAGTAATCAATGCATAGGCATTTCGACTTTTGCTTTTTCAATTTCGTACTACCACATTTTCCCAGGAAAGCTGAACCTCACTGTTGGAATTGAGTTTTTAAACATATTCGATACAGATATTCTAGTGTAGTCGTATATAAAAGTTTCAATGAGAAAATTACCGCCATTATGACAATCTAAAAACCAAAATTGATTGCACGATTCTAATTAGTTTATCTCGCGAACATGTCCTGCTCGGTGCAGTCACATTTTAAATAAGTTTATGTATTAAACACATTCTGTGGCTCCATGAAATAAACAAATATTATTATAATTACGGTTTTATGGCATTCACAACATCTGTTTACGAGTTATTATACATGTCAAATCATTGAGCTAGCACTGCAGCCTTGACAACGCCATGGCGTTGGTTAAACACTGCATTACCTATTATCGATAAAATACGAGCACTAATGCCAATGGCGTAGTTTTCGAAGGTGGAAAGATTTTAATTGTGGGTGGCACTGTTAAAACTAGATGAAATACATTGATCAAGTTACCTGTTAAAAACGAAAGGCAAAAAGCATAGGCCTACATTAACTAGTGTCAAGCATTTCACACATATCTACTTAGATTTAACTTAGATTTAAGGCTTATACTTTATACTATAAGTTATAGGCCTATTTCTTAGTATAACTAATGCTATCTGTATCGAGTAATAAATTAAGTCTGGGCCTACTATTGGTTATGATAAGTAAAGAAGCTTGGTGCTAAACTTATTTGATTATTTGTAATAATTATGTCTATGATGTTAGTAAATAACAATAAACAAAAGGTGCAGCAATTGACATGTATGGCTATTGGGGGGGGGGGGGGGGTTAGGACGATACTAATTAATAAGGCAGTGAATTTAGAATAACAAGAAAAAGGCATGATCATATTTATTCATAATAATTTAGGAAACAATTTTAATAGGACTTTTTAATTGTATGCAGTCATACTACTTAGTCTAATTTTTTTACTTGCATATTTCTATTGCCCCCACCCTCTAGCAAAGTTTCAATTCTAATATTTTAAAAAAATATAGACTTTATATTGACCTACGGGCCTATCGAACAGCACACTTCACTTTAATATGACTTAATTAGTTCTAATTATCCTTCATCAAATTTTGATTTTACTTTCATATTTCTATTGCCCACACTCTCTAGCACTAATGTGCAAAGTTTTATAATTATATAATTTATAATTATATCTCAAATAGCAGCAGTGGTATGCAAGCCTAAAGCCCAGCACAAAATAAAATCCGCCTTTACAATGATATATTACAAGTTTAATACATAACTAAAATTCATAGAATGATAAATTTGGTATTTTTATCAATAGGGTATATTATAGGATTAATCTGTGTCTATTTTATCATTCGATGATAATTAGGACAATTTTCCCAATATGCCTACAATGCATTATTAATAATTATCAATAAAAACTATTCAGTTTTTTTCTTTAATTTCAGTTTTAAATTATTTTTTTTTTGTCAACTTGATTTCAATTTTTACTTATTATCTAGAATTTGAAGGTAGGCCTACAAATTTTTAATATTAATTTTTCAGTTCCTTTTATACACATACATGACAGCCAAGCCATATCCTAACCTAGGGCGTCATGACAGTGAAAAATTTTACTACGATCCAAAGTCAAAATCAAAAAGACTTTTCCCAGATTATGCAAGTTCACCAACCGTGGAACTTTCTGTTATTGTGCCTGCTTACAATGAAGAAAAACGACGTAAGTTTGTTTTCAATTTTAACAATAGGTTCGAAAATTGACATTAACAACGCTAGTGTTTATATATTTTTTAGAATAATTTCAGGGAAAATTAATTTCATCTTTTTTTTTTTAATTTCTATTTTAAAATTTAGTTCCGATTATGATGGAAGAGGCAATGGGGTATTTGGAGAAAAGGCAAGCTCAGGATCCCACCTTTTCTTATGAAGTTATTATTGTAGATGATGGTAGCTCTGACCAGACTTCAGCAGTAAGCTTATGCTTTTTTTTCCCTTTTTATTGTGGTTTTAAACTATTCTCAGGAATGATGGTTACTTTACTTTTTAGATTGAGTTGTTTTTTATTTGGGTGTTACACAAGGAAAATATATTTTATTTTGTTAAGGTTGGCTTAAAAAATTCAGAGAAATTTGGAGCTGAGAAGGTGAGAGTGTTGACACTTCATCATAACAGAGGAAAAGGTGGAGCTGTTAGACTTGTAAGTCATGGACTAATGTTCTAGTTTATTTATACAAATTATACATTTTGGTCAAAAATTGTGGTTCATTTGTTGTTCTCATTATTTTGTTATGGCAAGACATCTTTGACTAACATGGTGGTAATTTTATTTTTTAGTTATGGTTTATCTTGGTTGTTTTTTTTTTTTTTTTTTTGTGCGCTGTTATTGTTAGGCTAACTTATTAGTTTATCTGTTATGGTAAAATATTTGGATTTGTCATTGTGATTTGTTTATTTCTAGGGTGTGCTGTCCAGCAGAGGAAAACAAATTTTATTTGTTGATGCGGATGGTGCAAGTAAATTTAGTGACCTTGACAAGCTAGAGCTAAGTATGAACACTTTAAAAGAAACTGCAAAAGAAAAGGCTAAAGAGAATAAGAAAGTGAGAAAACAGGTACGGAAACATTTGTAAGATTTTTTTACCTCAGGAATCATTTTATTCTGTTCCTGTTAAAAATGTTTTTATCACATTTATATTCTTCTAGGGTAAGATGGCCATTGTCTGTGGTTCTAGGGCACATCTAGAGAAAGATTCCATTGCTAAGGTTAGACCGTTAGAGCTGATCTTAAATTTTTTTTAAACTTCTTTTTAAAAGATTTTATTTGCTGGGCATTTAACCCATATATTTTTACTCCATGGCTTTGTCAGTATTTATTTTATTAAACGCACTAACAATGTTAATTTTTTTTTTTTATTTTCATAGCAGTGTTTTGAGCATATGTGCAATTTACTATCATGTTTTTGCCTAAATATTGCATCAGTTACTTTAAATTTGAATAATAGTTAATGTATTTAACTATTTCAGAGATCTTTGTTTCGTACATTCCTTATGTATGGCTTCCATTTTGTTGTCACATTGTTGTGTGTGAGAGGGGTCAGGGACACCCAGTGTGGGTTTAAACTACTTTCCAGAGAAGCTGCCATTTTCCTGTTTTCTAACATGCACGTAGAAAGATGGTAAGCTCCTATAAGAGGCTGTCAGCCACCGTAACTTAAAAGAAATGTTATTAAATACTTTTTTAATTAGACAAAATAAAAGGCATTGCAACCCAATGTTCCTCTGAAAATAATGAAAGCAACAATAAAACTAAATGCTGTTATATCTTTGTAGTTATTGCATCTTGAATCGCCTTCCTTTTAATATTTTGCTTTCGACTCATTAAAATACTCACTTTTTTTTTTAAATGCATTGCAGAAATCTTTTTCATTCTGATTTCAACTATTTTCTATTTATCTGAAATTTAACTTACAGGGCTTTTGATGTAGATCTGTTGTACCTAGCTCAGTACTTTGGTGTTGCTATTTCTGAAGTGGCTATAGAGTGGCAAGAAATAGAAGGTAATCACTGTCTTACATTGTTCATACAGAGAAGGTTTAATGGGGGTGTTTGGATGAGATTGGTCCGTCAGGAACCTTTTTACTAAATTGTGTAAACAATAACGTTTTGGCAAAGCATGGAGATCATGGTAAAATAGTTTTAAAATCTAATATGAAACTTGCTGCTGCAACTGCATAGTTCACTATTTTAGATGCTACTTTGTAATTAAAAATACAGTTCTAATAACACCATTTTAAAAGCACTTAAGTTTAAAACATTTTTAGTTAAATGACAAGATGCTTTTATCAGAAATACAAGAAAGACAAAACACTACAATAAACTGACAAATTAGTTAAGTATCATTTAAGAAAAGCATACCATACAGTTTTTAAAACATGATTTATGCACATTTTAATTAAAGTAATTATTTGTATTCAGGCACCAAGATGGTACCAGTCTGGAGTTGGCTACAGATGGGCAGGGATATAGTTTTAATTAGATTGAGATATTCTTTAGGTATCTGGAAAACCAAAACCAAATTTTAAATTTGTTAAAAAATCTGTTTCTTGTAAAAAAAAAAATCTGTCTGGTTTTATTGGGTGCATTTTTATTTGATGTCTGAGTGTTTTATTTTCAAAATACTCTATATATGTGTAATCATTATAAAAAAAAATACAAATTATTTTTGTTTTGATATTGTTTTCAACAACTCATAGTTATTTTTTTCATTTGTTACTTTTATAGTTTCTGTTATTTGTATAATGAGAATTAGTTATTGTTACTGCAGCAGTTAGCATTACAATTAATTTGAGAATTCATGTTTTTCTATGATATTTGGAAAATTATATAATCAAATTAGTAAAGAGGATTTTAGTTGTTTTAGAATTAAATGTCATTTAAATCTCATTAAAACTAAGGTATGTAAAAAGTACATTTTCAATATTTTCTATTCTAACAACAAGATGTTATTGTCTTATGAACATAGCCTATCTTTTTGTTAAAAGAAGTTGATAATAGTATAGTTTTTTTTTTAAATAATTTTTACTTTGTATAGTTTTATTTTTTATTTTATAAAATTATTATGTTCATGTATTTATTTTACTCAAAACTGCCTTAATTTGTTGAATTAAGCTGCTTATTAAAAACAAATATGTAAGTCTTTGAAAATCAAATTATATGATATACAATGTTGTTAAATGTATAATGATATGAACAATTTCTTAAATAAAACATTTACAATCAATTCCTTTATGTAAAGGTTATAAAAGTATTTATGTAACAGGATGTTATAATTTTTTGAAAGTTCTGAAACAATAAAGCTGGTAGCAAATTATACTTAAGTGAATTTGATAATGTATTTCTTTTAAAAGTAGATTTACAAAATGTTTGGTAAAAATAATAATTCATCTGTTTTCCTTAAAATGTTGAGGCTCTGTTTATTGTGCAGTTTATCAGAAATGTGTTGAATCTAAAACTTGGAGTGTGCTCCCTTTTCCAGCATTACATTTTGAAATTTCCTTTTTATGTTGTTCTACTTAAACTTAAACCTATTTTGTCCAAGTTTTCCTCTTAAGTCTTGTTAAATACATGTTTAATGTGAGATTTTTTACAAAAAAAAGCTTACAGTCACAGTCTACATTCGTCTTACAATACAAGAGTATTGACATCCATAGTTGTTTTTTTTTAAATATTTTATTGTAAACCAGAGCTAAACTGTTTTTAGCATTTATTGCTGGTGCTAACCTAATAACTAGAAATCCTATATGTTACATACGTCATAACTCCATTCTCTTTTTCTACCAGGGTTACTCCCCTTACTCTTAAAGTAGAGGTTCAGGTATAATTATATAGCGAGTCATGGGGATGAACCTTGTGCAAATATTTAAACCAGGCGAGTGTACTAAGGAAAACTAACAAGAAGCATGGCTGGGGATCATATTTATATGTGCTTAAATAAAACGTAGAATATGGATCAAACGGAAGTTGCATTTTAATTTCGTTGAAGTTTGTTGCGAGTAGATGCATATAAGATATTTATAAGACCTGGCATAATTAAAAAGGCAGCCCATCGTTTTTTGTTTCAAGTTGCTTATTTATGGAGAAAAAAAAACAATTACATTGCTTGGGAAATTATTTTAAAAGATACCTTGAACGTGAAAGTTTCAAGTGCACATGTGAAAGTTAAATAGGCAAGCGGATTTTAATCTTCTAGTAGGAATGATTTTTTTTGTGACGGGTGTTTATGTATACGTCACATCTTCCCGCCCGATGACGTCAGCGGATAGGAAGTGAATTAAAAAAATGAATTTACTTCATGTCTGGTGGCGTTATTTTCTTTTCAAGCATTGGCAAATTTTGATAAAAACATCTTTCAGAAGACTCGATTCCTTTTTTTTTTTTTTGTGTGGCCGTAACAGTAATACCGGCATTTAAAATACTTCGACTGGTGGGTCCAGAGTTTCTTCCAGGCATCTCTTCCCCCCCCCCCCCCCCCCCCCCCCCCCGAAGAAAGTTTACCGCCCCCCCCCCCGAACGAGATGGAATTTACATAGTAAATATACACTTTTACTAGTTCCCCCCCCCCCCCGAAAAATGTAGACCCCCCTGTAAATATCAAGTGCCGCCCCCCCCCCCCCCCCCCGGAGAAAAAGAGTCTGGAAGAAACACTGGTTTGACTAACGCTTGGCGATGACGTGGCCGTGTGCAGTGTTTCTTCCAGGCATCTCTTCAGGGCCCTCGAAGAAAGTCTACCCCCACCCCCCGAACGAAATGGAATTTATATAGAAAACATACTTTTACCAGTGTCCGCCCCCCCCCCTCCCCCCCCCCCCCCCCCAAATACCAAGTGCCCCCCTTCCCCCTTCGGAGAAAAAAGTCTGAAAGAAACACTGGTAGTGTGTGTGGAGGAGGAGGAGATGGTAAAAGCCCTGGGTTCGTAACCTGGGTTCGATCGAACAACTTCAGGGGTTCGGTGAGTCAGTTTCATGAGTTCGGCGGAGGTCATAACATACATCCGATTTAGGCCTATATCAGTAGGCCTATATATACGCTTCACGATCGGATTTTGTCAGTGCGGACGGTCAAAGGCGCATATGAAATTGGTGGGGTTCGGTACCTCCAAAAAGGTTTAAGAACCACTGCCCTCGGTTTCAAGCCACGGAATGTTCCAGGAGCTACCAAAAGCTTAAAGCTAGACGCCATCCTAGCGGGATATGACTTTTACGGCAGACGTCAAGCTTCCTAATCTAAATGAATGTAGCTGTTACTATCCGCCTGACCATACCTGTCAAAAAGTGCGGCTTTTCGTGATGTAGGTCATGCGGTTCTATCTTAGTAGGATCTACAACGCGGTTCCTGAAACAATTATTTCTAGCACTTAACATAATATTAGAGATTCTGTAGACTGGGTTTCTCAGCAGAAAACACAGAGCTCACCAGTCCACAACAGAAAGACGAAATTTTAATAGGCTGTATGTTTAAAATGTTTGATCACAGAATCGATTGTGCCAAAGTCCATCTATAAATATAAATTTCTGGGCAGGTTTCGGGCGAGGGTGAATAAGGGGAAATGATTAGGAATGTGTAGCGTCACACTTTTGCATGAATGAATGTTTTAGCATTAATTAAGGCGTTATATAGCATTTTTAATAAATATTTAATAAAAAGACATCAAAATTGTTGTTACGGCACAGCCTAATTAATTTGATTTAAAAATTGGAATTTGGAGCATGGGACAGGGGTGGAAGTGTGACCCATAGACCCATACTATCCACTTTTAGCGGCGGATTTATGTAGGCTTAAATATCCGATATGCTGGTATCGTTTGTAGGCTTATCTAGCCTGTATTTAGCGATAGACCTGCACAGTTCTTTTCAATAAATCCATAAATAGGCTAATGCGACCCATATTTTCTTTTGACTTATAGGTTTAAATAGTTTGCATTATTAAGGACTATTAAAGGGAAAAACATCTTTTAATGCATATCGGCGTACATTCTGTATTATGAATGTTAATACTAAGCAAACTAAGCATGATTTGGCACTACGATATCGCCCTAAATAGTGGGGTGTTGAGGAGTAGGGTACGGCAACTAGCCTACAATATCAACCAAGATTTTAATTACAGAGTTTCTTCCACGCATCTCATAGAATTTATATAGAAAATATATACTTTTAACAGTGACTGCTCCCCCCCCCCCCCTCGGAAATTTCAAGTGCTCCCCCTCCCCCCGGAGAAAAAAGTCTGAAAGAAACACTGTTTAATTAACATTTAATACGAGTACATTCACGCCTTGCTTCTTATTTTCTATTCAACAAAATATAAACGTAGAGTAGAGGTGTAACATAGGTGTTCTTCCACTAAACGTTAGCGCTCACTCTACAAAGCAAACGAAGAGGGGGAGCGTTTCTGTTTTAAAGCACAGTGGGTGGAAAGCGTCGACTTTTCCAGCAACTTTTTCACTACGATAAAATAACTTTGTGGTGGATAGGCTATATCATAGAGAAAATAAAGTTTCATAAGTAATCGTAACGACGCGGCCAAACCGTTTTCCAGCTTTTGGCCTTCTGTTTGAGTAAGTTAACTGATGTAGACTGTATTAAAAATAAAAAAATTACTTTGATCAACAATCCCAATGTCATCACTCATGAATGAGTTCCTCAGACAGTAGCATATATTATTGCAGGCGGATATAATCTACGAGTTTCGAATATTTTTATTTTATTTTTTGAGGTTATCTAAAGCTTAGTTGTCTACGTAAGTGAAATGTTAATACATTATTTTAATTAGCCTATTTATTACATGACAAGTGTGTATGTGGGGGGGGGGGGGGTGTTGCCAAGTAATTTGTAATTTACTTTGGATAGGCCAATACTAAGTTCACTCTCATTTGATTCTATCAGTCTAGTCGCCAACCAAAATCCATTTGTTTGTTTCGCTTTATTGTTGTGTGTAGAATATCAATCATGTGTGTGTGAGAGACCAGTGCATGAGATACTGCATCAGCGTGATTGATGTAAGAGTAGAGAGATATGTTTCTGAATTAGAATCTAAATCACGTTAATGCATGTGATTAATTTTAGGTAAGTAAACTTTAAATTCAGTTAGATTAGTTAGATTTATCATTTAAGTATTAAATAAATACTTCCCTCTCTAAGACCTAAGAATTTCAATTTAGAAAGTTTTTTTTAGAACGAGTGAAAGCAGATCAAATTTTTTATTTTAGGCTTAATTTAAAAAAAAAAATTTTTAATTTGATTAATTAAAAACTCAGATTATATTGATTATTGATATAATAATTAACATCAAATAGGCCTAATAACTAATAAGTAATAGGCCTAATTATTAAAATAACAACAGAACAACAGTGCCCTGGAATATAAAAGTAAAAGTAATTAGGCCTAGTACTAATTTTAGGCTACCCTACTAATTACTAGTAATTAGGCCTAGTAATTAGTAATTAGTTAGCATTAGGACTCTGGGGGATTATTTAATTTAAAGTTAAACAAAAATTATTAGACCTTAAGTCCTAAAGTAAAGTATCCATATATATTGAAATAATTTACAAATTAATTTAATTTTTATTATTACCAACGACACCATATAAATTCATAATGCCGGGGTATAATATAGATCTAATTTAATACAGTATTGAATTGATAGTATGAGTAGTAAGATAGCTTTCTTATCATCTTTCCAATTTTATTCTGATACCTAGGCCTAACTAACAGCCAACAGGCTAAGCTTTTTAAGTCTATGCTACACAGAGTACAGTACAGTAGTTTCCCAACACTGCAAAATAGAAATGGTTTAAGAAAGATTTTGAAAGAATTTACTATTTATGTTTATAGAACTAATCAGTCCTTATTTATAAATTGACACCCTAAACACAATGACACAATGCCAAGTTAAAAAAAAATATTACAGTTTATATATGTGCACACATCAAACTATTCCTTACTCTAACTCAAAATGTCTTCTAACATTTGACTGTGTCCTACACGCTAGACTGACCAACTCAACTATCTTTTTCCCAATTGCGCTATCTCAGACCAACTCACAACGCTTGGACAGCTGACCGTTACATGTGACCGTTCTGTTCGTTCCACTGTCTATTAGTTCTGCTTGACCAATGTCCAGCTGATCTACTCTATTCTACATCTTGCCTGTCTTTGCCTTATACTTGAATCTTGCCTAACTTTGCGTCATCACCTATGTTCCCTCTAAGCTGCACAGTTGCGTGGCCATGCAGTAATTTTCAACTGCCGCTCAGTCATTTTGTAAAATACATATATCATTTTATAAGACTTTTAGAACACCGCGCACACAAAATACACGTTGCACACAAACTTTTTCGCCTGTCATCACACAGAGCAACATTTTATTTTCATTTTCAAAAGCTTTTTGTGTGTTCATACTTTGTGGATTATATTTAAATTTATTTCTAAATATATCTAATTTTTAAATTCCATTCAGGGATTAACATGCGCAGAAACACAATCACTGTAATTAAGTATCTGATAGTAAGCAGCTGTCTGGTAGTGACAGGGGTCATGCTACTTCATACCATACACCGGATGAAAATTCGCCCAAGACACTTGGGACAGAACAATGAGAACATTGAGATAAGGGACCCTAGACAGCCTGTACCTGATCCAGCCTTACAGCAGGTCTGTTTCTATTTTTTCTCTGCTTTTTCTTTTTGCGTGTTACATTTTCTGTTTATGGTCTGTTTCTTATTTTGTATTCTTCCAAATATAAGTATTCTTTTTAAATTTGTCTGTTTCTAGTCATGTCTTTTAACCACATTATGTATTTTCTTTTTGAGATCCTTTATTTCCCTCTCTGTCTATTTTTAACTTTTTTTTCATATCCTTCAGGAATTCTATTCTTACTAATTGAATATACAATGGCCCAAAATGCCAAACTATTCATTTCAGTTTAAAGCCGATTATGAAATAAGTAAAGTATATATGCCTACTTCAAAAAGTGTTTTGCACATTGTGCCTATTTAAGTTTGAAATCATATAATTAAAAAAGCCTAGACCAACTTTTTATAAAATTTAAAAAGGGAACAAGATAAGCAGTCAACCAAAATAGGCTAAAACTGTTCATTTTAATTCCTTTAAGTTTCTAGTGTATAACCCTTGTAAACATAACACATTCAATATGGTTACTATACTGTGTGGTGTCTCTTATTGAAAATAAGAATGTAGATGCATTTGTATGTAAACATTCAATAGAGAGGAGCTATTATACAGTCCTAGCCAAAGAGAGAGGCATACTCTTGATGTAGTATACTGTTTAGCTAATTTGGGTTGGCATTGTCAGATTGGTACAGCTCTTGGCTGCTAATCTGAAAAAGCCCAGAGTTCAACACCGGGGCAAACGAGGCTAAATAGCTGGCAAGCTCTTGTTGAGTAGTATACTGGTTAATACAGTCACAGCCAAACTGTTTTGAGATCAATAGAGAGAAAGAAACTGAAGATGAGCACTGATATGTGTATTTTTAATTCTAGTTCTACAGCATGTTCAAAACATAATATATATCACTTTTATCGTATGTGTCAATATTTTTTAGATTGCACACATTAAAAAAGCTAGGAGCACTTCCTGTTTTGTCAGTGTAATAAGTACCCAAATTACAGGTTTTTCATGACCTCCAGCATAGGGCAATAAATATTTTCTTGCTAGACAATTAATTAACCATGTCAGGTACCAATTATTCTTCCCTGGCAACTTGTGTTGTCTCATACAAGCCACAGATTGGAATTAAATATGTTACCCTTGATTAAAAAATAAACTGTTGATTAAAAAACAAAACAAAAACAACCCTTTGTAGAGCTTTTGACTGCCAAACCAAAAGTTGGGACACCATAAATGTCTCTAGTCCACTCAGCTCTGATAGGTACCTGACTCAGGGAGAATAAAGGCAGTTGCGCATAATGTTGACCACATCCATTTAAATGCCAAGGTCACTGAAATAGGTGAAATGTACTTCATCTGCGCTTTGGAAAGTGTACTTAACATTATACTTTTATATTATTTACAGGACTACATATAACTCGGGCCTTCTTTTACCAATTATGTTGAAAATAAAATTACATTCGCGTCGTTGAGAAGCTCCCATCTAAATAGTTCCCACTCTTTATAACGTTTACCCGAGAGATTACGGTCTCCCATATGCACGGGTTAATAAATTGAGCAAGACACCAACCCACGTCCCTTAACATAACATGTTTTTACCAACCCACCTCCCTTAACATTACATGTTGTTATCTTCAACCCTCCCATCTTTTCCCTCTTCCTCCCGATCTTGACCCTCTTTGCCTCACCACTTGAAGGGAAAGAGGAAAGAAGCGACAAGGCAACCAGACGGAAAAAAAACACAACTGGTTTAGATTGTTACCGTTTATCCTCCTGTAAATGTCAAGCTTTATCGGACTAGTCGTGCAACAAATTTCCTGTACAATAGTGTAGGGGGATTTCTGAGATTAATTGACACGAAGGGCGAACAGGAAAATCTCAAGTGATTTTTTTTGTTTTTTTGTTTCACGTAACGTTTAATACAAGTTGGCCTACTCATTATTTTTCGATTATCTTGTCGCGAGCTCGATAAATTGGGACGGACTTTACAACGCTACTGAAATACTTTTAATATATTTTTTCTTTCTGTTTACCGTACCCCATTATCCCATCGTTAGAATAGCGAACCTCTTATGAACGTATAAGTCAAACCTTAATCTTTAAAGTATCGTTCAACTAAAGCTAACCGAAAATTGCTGGATTTACCATCTACAATTTTTGTTCTAGATTCTTCCATTAGAAAAATTTCTCATCCATAAAATCGTCTTAAATCCCCACCCTCCCCAATTAAGATATGAGGGTGGACTGATTCAAACGGCTTGATATTCGCGCGTAGCTACATGCTGGCGAGAAGTATATAGAACAGGGCATTCTTTGTATCTGGCACAATTTTCAGCGTATCTATTTTCCTTTATTGTGACCAGATCTTATCCGCAGCGTGAAATCCTCTTTGTGTCAGATGATCATATTTTCTACGGTCACCACAGTGAAAGGAAAGTCTGACACACGTAGCCTAGAGTTGTCTCATTCTCTTGCCACTGAAGGTCTGTTCCTTTTGGCTCCAGGGTAGTAGAGCCCTTACTTCACTTCTCCATCGGGGTTATTTTTAGATGAGATCTTGGCTCGGGTCTTCAAGCACCCATTGTCCCCCCTCCCGTCGTGGCCATGTCATGTTTCTTGCCTCATACTTTTTTTTGCGGGGGGGGGGGGGGGGGGGGGAGAGGAGAAATATCGATGTGAAATTTTCGTGTGTGTGCACGCCTTGCCTTAACACGACACATTATTTGAATGTGTTGTGATATTTTTATTTTGTTTATAGTGTGGTGTCTGGCTTTGTAGATAACGTATGTTTTTATTATTTTGTGAACGTAGACATGTAGATCTATTACTCTTACATTCAGATCACGCGTCTCCTCTAGTCCTCTCTCCCCCTTCATATCACTCCCTATGTAACTGGTTTTGTCACAGTCTCATCATTTTTACTTGGTTTTGTTTTGTATTTTATTTGGTGTTAATTATGTACACGATACGGTCACCGATCAAACTATCCCCCTCACCAGTCTCACGTCGAGATCAGGGGATTTGTATGCTGAACTCCTTCTCCCTCTCTAATAGCTTTCCATTCGTGCGTGGTTTTAGTTACGAGCTGTTCTTCCTTGAACAGGCTCTAATATGTTGACACACGTCTTTAGTGTGGTCGAACCGGTTGTCGTGACAACACATGCATGTTGACCAGGCTCGCTGGTCGGGGTCCACAGGGCACTTTCGTCCAGTCCGTTAACTGTTTCACGTGTTGGTGCTGGGACAATACCCAGACGCCATCGCCAGACACGTAATGCATGTTGGGTTCGGATAGCATGCAGACATTAGCCACAATCACGGGATGCATGTGGATGTTGGGATAGCATGCAGACATCAGCCCCAATTATGTAATGCATGTGGATGTTGGGATAGCATGCAGACATCAGCCCCAATCACGTATGTGGATGTTGGGATAGCATGCAGACATCAGCCCCAATCACGTATGTGGATGTTGGGATAGCATGCAGACATCAGCCCCAATCACGTATGTGGATGTTGGGATAGCATGCAGACATCAGCCCCAATCACGTATGTGGATGTTGGGATAGCATGCAGACATCAGCCCCAATCACGTATGTGGATGGTGGGATAGCATGCAGACATCAGCCCCAATCACGTATGTGGATGGTGGGATAGCATGCAGACATCAGCCCCAATCACGTATGTGGATGTTGGGATAGCATGCAGACATCAGCCCCAATCACGTATGTGGATGGTGGGATAGCATGCAGACATCAGCCCCAATCACGTATGTGGATGGTGGGATAGCATGCAGACATCAGCCCCAATCACGTATGTGGATGTTGGGATAGCATGCAGACATCAGCCCTAACCACGTATGTGGATGGTGGGATAGCATGCAGACATCAGCCCCAATCACGTATGTGGATGGTGGGATAGCATGCAGACATCAGCCCCAATCACGTATGTGGATGTTGGGATAGCATGCAGACATCAGCCCTAACCACGTATGTGGATGGTGGGATAGCATGCAGACATCAGCCCCAATCGAGTATGTGGATGGTGGGATAGCATGCAGACATCAGCCCCAATCACGTATGTGGATGTTGGGATAGCATGCAGACATCAACATAATCAACGTCACCAGAGCAGGGCTGTCGTGTTTGTTAACGTTTGTGTTGTTTGTGCTCTGTTATACTTGGCTTGTTGTTTATTCACTGATAAACTTCGATGGCCAAATTCATCGTTTGTTCGTTTGTAGGCTGCATATAAGGTTCATAAAGAGCTAAACCTGTACACTTCAGTTAGCCATACCTACATTTTCGCACAGCCAGTATTGTATGTAGTGGTATTTCAAATTCAGTCCTAACCCAAAGCATAACAATATAATGGTTACATTTCAGATCTACGAATGCTAACCCAAATATTTTCCTTTCGCCTATAATTCAAATAAGTCTTTCTATGAATCTTAAGACTTGACTAATGAAGATTCACATAACTATGTAGAATGCTTGCTGGCCACATTGATAGATAGATACTATCTTAAGCAGTAATTAATTATTCACATTGGAAACTACAGACAATGTGTTGCTCAACTGCGTGTGCTGTGTGCTCACGACCATTTAAAAGTAGACAAACAAATGTGACACTAAGAGCAACAATAGAACACATGTAACGCTTTGAAATAACGCTATCCAACAAGTCAACAAGTGCACAGCTAGAAGCTACAAAAACACCAAGTTATCTATTTAAAGATAATCTAAAAAGAAAACGACTATTAGTGTATTAAGTTACTCTTATAAAAACATTAATCAACCAGCCAAAAGACGGCACGTCGTTGTAATTCAGCAGTTGGCCTATCTTATTCAGCACGCTATCTCAACGTCAGAATACACTTTCATTCTACAAGCACACTATCGATACAAGTAACGTATTATTATCCAGTCGATGGGACGTATCATTAGCTATACACCTGTAACATTCGGCCCATTAAAATGTAGACAGTATTGATTAGAGACACGTTATAAACGTCATTTTTAGC